TTCATTTGATGTACCATAAAGTCACGTCTCTCCTCTTTGCAATGATATATCATTCATTCACATGTGGTAATGGTTGGGTGAGAAATCCTTCCATTTGCACAGTGGGTCAAAATCAACTCTGGGCCAAGTTTTAGATATTGCAAAAATCAGTGCAAGGGCTAAGTGCCAATGGAAGTTCCCCTGACTTCAATCGTTGTGGCTTTTTCTTTTGGAGCTATCTCAGGAGCATCTGTGCTCACAATTCCTCCACCAGATATTGCAAAACCTCGAGAAAGAATTGCCTATGGGCTGCTTTTCTCTGCTTTAACCCACAGGTGACTTAGCGCTGAACCATGCATGACGTGGACAGATGAGCGCATCTTTATGTGCAAGGAAGTAGTGGCAATTTCGATGGGTATAGGATGTATTCTTGCAAGAGTATGAGTATGAACACTTAACTGTCTATGCTACACCTGTCACACCTTCTCCCAATAGCACCTATGCCCCTTGTACTGACTTTTGCAATGTTTAAAACTTGGGTCCGAGCTGAATTTTGCCCCACTTTGCAAAATTAATGATTATTCGGCCAGAGATGACTCTCTGTGAATGAATGATATTCCATTGCAAAGAGGAGTAATTTGGTTTTTGGTACATTGAATGGAAAGGATGGAGTCAGCATTGGTTTTATGTTTTCTTCCAATTTTGCATCGGGCTCCGTACACTTACTATTGCGATGTTTATAACTTGGTCAAAAGCTAATTTGGCCTACTTGGCAAATGGAATGATTACTCGCCCAATCATGACCAAATATCAATGAATGATATATCATTGTAAAGAGGAGACACATGGCTTTATGGTGCATTGAATTAAATCAATGCTGTTATCACTGGTTTTGTGCTTTTCCGAGATAACAATCTGTTGCGTTTTTTTTATACGCACTGTATATAGGCTCATATGCTGAGAAACTTAGGTCAAATCAACATTTTGCCAATTATCTTTGTCATTCAATATTTCAGATTTCGGGATATATGCCAAGAAAGTAAGTCAACAGTAAGTGATAAGTTAGGGCAACATTTTGAAAATCAATGGTCGAGGTGAAGATCTAGGTGGATTCAATCTGGAGTCTTAAAATTGAACATGTTCAATAATTCAAAGTTATGATCAAATTACCGTATTTTAAAATCACTTAAAACGTTTTACATGGTAGAAACGTGCACTTTAAAATTCATTAGAGTCCCTTACGTAAAAAGGAAAAAATAAAAATTGAATATATTATATTTTTCATTTCAATTACCTGTGTTTTGATATATAACATGGCACGTATCATGCTAAAACATTGTTCAAGAGTCTCCCAAACCATTTCTATTCTGGTATTCCGGTAAATGACATTAAAATGAAATGCCAAAGTGGCATTGTGACTGCGTTAACGCTAGAAAATACGTAAAAACTTGATACTTGAACAATCGATGATAACCCCACTTAAGGTAACTTATAACTTAATCAAAAAATCCAAGATGGCCGAAACCGCAAGAAGCACATGGCATTTGAGTATAATCTGACCATCAAAATTAACTGTCTTTTGGTTGGATTTTCTCTCAATTTTTTAGTTCCACTTATCATTTATATAACCAGGCTCACTGTGGTAATGCAAATAGAAACAGTAAACATTTTGGAATGGGGATTTGAGTCCTCTGAAAATGTGACAGAAAAATTGACAAAAAGAGTAGCACGGCAAAGGTCCCTGAATATTTTTTTTCTAATTTCTCTGAAACATCCCTTTAATATAGCCCAAAATGGAAGGAGCTTTAGAATTTTGAAATATCTCATACAAATTAAAAAAAATAGAAAAAAACAATTTGAGAAGTGTACTTTTTTCCTTATTTTGATCCCAATTTTTTTTATCGGGTAATTTTTCAAATTTCCGTTGCTCCTTCGTTTTTGATATATGTTTGAAGTATATTTTCTGAAATGTTCAGATATTTTGAATCAGCGGTTTTTCACGGGCTACTCCTAGAAAAAAATCTTCTCAAATTCTTTAAACGGCACTTTTTTTCTCAAACTAAAGTTTTTTGTTGTTCTTTGATGTCTTTGTAATGATTACAGTGCACAAGCATATGTGAAATAATAAAAACGACTTCTCAGAAAGAGTTTGAAAATTTCAAGATTGTGAAATTTTCTGAAAATCGATTAAGTTAACATTCACCTTAGTAACGTATTAATTAACCCATCTCATTTTTGTCAATATCACTTCAGTGTTACATACATAGTATATAGATGTACCTGTTATCAAGCTGGCGACGATCAGGGGAAGAATGATCATCTTCAACATACGAATAAACAATTCCCCTGGCAATCCTATCCACATGATTACGCCATCAGTTGGATTCGCGGACCTCACTCCCAATCCAAGGAGAAAACCAATCACAATTCCACATAATGTCAATATAAGTAGCAAGTTTTGTTTTAATCCAGATCTCAACGATGCTTTGGTGCATAGGCATCCTGTACTGCTGGTGTTTTTCGACTTCATGTTCCTATGGTACTGTTCCTAAATCAATAGCGATATTTCAGCGATGTGAAATCTGTGTTTACAAAACAGTACATTATAAGAAAAAAACATATAGGTAAGCTATTCTTACTTATGCCTGGGTCACATATGCTCCGATCCATCGCCCGGCGCCCGGCCGATTGAGGGTTTTGTTCAATATTGTATTCAATTTTGAACAAAATACTCAATCGGCCAGGCGCCGTAGTGAAAATTGGAGCAAATGTGACCAAGGCATTTACGAGGATAAGATCTCAACATATAGTTCGTGAACTTTGTTAATTCATATCCCGGGATTTATATATATGTTGAGATATCCTGTACAGTCACGGTGCGATAGTCAACCTAGCTGAAAAAAGTGGTGACTATATTGTCCTTACTAGCCGATATATCGTTCAAGCTCGTTAAAATTTGACCGCATCGATCGCTCGACACAAGTATGTTTTCGGTTGACCTCCTTAAATGCTGCTGCATGTTGAGACATTTTGGATGATGGGTGCAGGTTTGCCGAAAGCGCAATGGTGGCCACTGGGGCATGCTGTAACATTGGGACTATCAATCTGATTGTCATGAAATGTAGGAAATTGAATGATATACAATTACAAATGTGTAAAATATCAGGGATATTAAGAATGACAAAGATATGAGTAAAATGGTGTAAGCGTTTCCAGTTTTACCACCCTGTATATTAATTGAGTAATAAATATAGCATACCTATTTTTGCGGAATAAAAGAACTTGCACAGTTCATCTATTAAGTTATGGACAATACAAAAAATAATTAGTTAAAGGTCATTATTGAGTACCTGTATCAACATTTTGCCATCACAAGGCATTCGCTACGCCTCATCGGAAATGTTCTGGATGATATCCAGCCAAATCGAACACCTTTATGTTGAGGTGATCTGATATTCTCTCAAGGCCTGGTTGTATTTGTAGACATATCATTTTTACTGGTAGTTTTCCCGTTCTTTGTTTTTCAGGTAATACTGCTGCCTACGGTGTACGAATAATTTTCTGTTTTGGATTCAGCCGATGGAATCCTCGTTTGCTCTTTGGTGATCTTGCTCCCATTCTAAGTCACTGCACTTGAATGGTTTATCCCATATGTTTTTCCCATTATGCGTCCTTTTTGTGCAATTAAGAAATGTAAAATGCATGTAAAACGGAGGTCCTAAATTCTAAACATAATTTAAAATTTCCTTAAATGAAAAACGATCCAGATAGGATCCAAGTAAAGTGCCTTCTTGGAGTGTTCGAATTTGACAATTTTTGGGCCAAAAATTAAAAATCACTTGAAAAGTGCACAAAATGGAATGGTGAAAAACTGCAAGATTTCCCAGAAAGTTATGCCCAGATTCTGGGCCTGTCTCATGTCTTTCTCTAATCTTTGAAATATTTAATATGCAAATCATTAGAACTGCAAACATAGTAAGCAAAAACAAGTTCATTGGTTCAGGTGAATCTAGTTCAAGTTGAAAGATTTATTGAAAAAGATCTTACCTCTGATGTTTAAAACATTTAAAATGCAAATTATAGAGCTTCTTTAATATCATTTAACAGCTCAATCACATTTCACATTTCTCAGTAACAATTTGAGTATAATTTTGAGTAATTGTACATCTTTTCCCGACAACCAACAGTCAACTGGATTTTGTACCACAATGATTCTTATACCTTTGGCTTAAGCTAATTGGTGGAACTACCTCTCGGGAAATCATCGGGGAGTGTGCAATGACCTGCATTCTTCAGTTCTTGTCAGGTTTAAAGGGAGAATCTCGCCTAGATTTCTCCCTCAAACAATCAGTGATGTACCATTATAATTGTGCATATATTTTACATACCCAAGATATATCTCGAGAACGAATTGAGGGCACAGTATCACAGATACATTGAAAAAATCAACAGAACAACCAACTGTCGGTTAAAACATAATTAGTCAAAAGCATCATACAACCATTTTAACAATATTATGAAACCTTTGAAAGAAAGAAATATTATAACTACATTTTGTAAGTGTTATGGGGACAATCAATAACAATCAATGTGTTGTGATTCAAAAATGAAAAAAATCATTTCGACTTTATTACTAGCCAGTAGAAAAGTAATATCTGTGAACAACCATCAAATTGATCATGTAACGATTTAGTTGAAGCCTCAAAGTTGGTAAGTTGATAACTTCTTATAATCTTTCCGAGCCAAAACATCAGGGGGTTACTCTGATATTGTGCTTTTATCAAACATTGCACCTTTATACTTTAAGATACAAAAACTGAAAACGTTTTTTTATTTTCATGAACTGTCATTATAATCTTTTTAAGTAATCACTGGATCCACTCATCTATATTGGCATCGTGTTAGTGTCGCATCGAGCGCCCTTTTCAGGATCGTTGTTTCGAGTATCATCAGAACAGTTAGTGTTATCAAGGTCGTTCCGGCAAATTGCATCTACAAGGGCACATCCTGTAGCGTGACTGAGAACATTAGTAACCGTCCTTAGACGATCACTAAAAAGAAAGGAAAAAAATGATCGATGACACACTTTATTATGAATTACTATTACATTTATATTATTTCATTTTACTTGTATACTATGTTATATAATATATATCTATAAATGGTATGAGTGATTAGTGTTTGTTTACTTTGCACGTATTTTTCGAATTATACATAGGGGACAAACAACTTATTGATGCTTCCGCCGAGTGGGAAGACAAAAATTGGCATTTTAAAAACAAGAATATAGTCCAATTATTGTAATTATATTAGCATCACCAGTGGTTGGATTTTGGTAAGTACATGAATGAAAAAGTATATGTATGGACCAACTCTAACACATGATTTGATGTGATGGAGGTGCATTTTCTTTAATAAATTTGACCTTTTTGACCTGCCTCCATCTGTCAAAATCAGAGTGACAATTTTTGACATTTTCTATAGATGGCGTATTCAACAGGTGAGATCTTTTGATTTTCATGGGGAGTTTTGGTTCAAACTTTTTTGACTGACAGAGGACATACTGGAGTAGGATGGCATGATAGCAAAACATGTCCACAAATCTTCATTTTCTCTGAAAGACATTTTTTTTATTTAGATGGGAATACGCATGGTATAGCATTTGGTTGTGTTAGCCCACAGCTTTAACAGAGGCTACTATTTGGGACTAGGTATGTGCATGGGCTTTCAATTATTCTAGTTGAAAGCCCATGCCATGGTATGTGCTACTTAATAAGTGTTTCGTCTTATTCTCCATTATTGCATTCGAAAACTTACTTGAGCCATTCCAGTGTGAGGATAAGTGCTAAAGAGTCACCCAGGGGCATATTTAGAGCGCTGCCTAGCAAAACCACTATTACTAGACTTGCACTTGGAACCATCGCAACACCAAACGACGATACAAAGCAAAGACATCTAGAGTACATAACATAAACTAGGAGTAATAAGAAAAGTTTAAAAAGTAGAGCATTAAAATTCAACACGTTTGAAATTAGAGTTGAATTATTTTATTTCCGGTTGATATAACGTCTTAGCGTTAGTGAAATCGAACGCGATTTCAACTGATTGGATAACATGATGTGATCATGAGTAGGTTATGTGAGTGGATGCACGATGGGATCGTGTTATTCTGCGAGTAGCAACCGAAGCGTTTATACACAGTTTTAGTTAATGTTGTAAGTTGTCATACAACCGATTCGAAAATTTAGTTTTATTGTTCGAGGAGGCATACCTTTTTCCCTTTCGAAAGTCACAAAGATTTTGATCTGGGTTTTAACGGTGTCAGGTCGATAAACTAAAGTTTTTCATATTGAAGTCAACGAACACTTTCTTTAGTGCTATTGACCAAATCAACGTTTTTGAATGAAGTATACGTGTTCCGACGTTGATGTAACCTGTTCCCAATAATTACTATTTTGGGAAGTATATTTTTCTGCAATTATTACAAAGCATTGCATAGCATAGGATGTTAATTAAGTTAATTAAAACATTTAGATATTAGGTTTCTAAGAAGCAATTATGTAATGTGCATATCTTTAAATCTGAAACTCAAGGCATGGCTTTTTACTGACAGCGCATTGAATCTAAGTGAATAAATATGTATTTAAGTGCGTTTCTGTCATATTGTTTCAAGGAAGGCACAAAGTTTTGCTTTTAATATCTATTTCCAGAAGGGCATCAATTTTGGTAATTTAGTTGATACTTGTGTTTCTTTACAACATTTACAGTAGTTGTGTTATATCATTAAGAGAAGTGCTTGTCAACTATTTGCATTTTATATTAAACAGATAGTATTTAGATTTACAACGTTTCGAAGAATTGTTCTTTTGCTTTTGTTGCAATACGAGATAAGTTTGTATTAAGGTTTGCAAAGCATGGTGCTTTCCAGATATTATATTGTTCATCACAATAGTTTTAGAAGATCGTATGATTTTTGTAGTCCGGTCGTGTATTCTTGTGATAATCACGGAATTTTTGTATTTTGTGACCAACAATGTCGCATATTACGACAGTTAACTTTCTGAGTTACGTGTTTTGCCAAAAGGCAATGTTATGGTTACAGTGCAAGTCTGTAGACAGTGATTTAGATTATTGTTATGTATTAATGACAGTGCGTGATTACTGTATTAGATAGTGAGGCATGTTACTCACAGATTTTGCATAGTGCTAGAAGGCACTATATACATGTATGGTCCTTATACAAGTTTTTTTATATTGCAAGTTGACAGATAGTCACAATTTAGAATTGGTTTATTCCGAAATTTGTGAATTAATTTGAGATCTTGGACGTGTTAACAAACGTGTAGCCACAATGGTTTTAATGACAGTTGATCATTAGATATGGATGGGTTGTTGGATTTAGATGTTTTAATTAGGCACACGGTGCCTTATTGATGCCTTGAAGGCAGTTAAACATCGTAAATCAGCAGCGAGGTTGGGAGCCGAGGACGGATGTTGGGTATATTTGAACCTAAGAGGTTTCTGGCATTAATGCCATCGGCATCGTGGCCGCTATGACATTGGCATCGTGGCCGTCATAGGTACCTGGATGCATCGCGGTCTTTCTTTTTTTCACTCATTCTTTGTATCAGATGTACTTAAAGATATGCTATACAGATATGTAGGTCAGTATTACATAATCGTGAAATGAATAAGTCTGAATATATCATTGGTCAGAAAACACTAAAACCTGCTTGAAACTGTAAAAGTTTATACACTCTATTCCACACTGTATAGAAATAAAATAACTCACACTATAAGTAACTGTGAGCCAATCATTGCATAGAAAAAACTTTATGCACTGTTTATAAGATTCACTGAGACAAGTGGGTCAATACTTCGTGTACTTTATGTGCTCTCACACAATTACCTTCCCTTGCATAAAGTTGCTGTACAGTTATATGTAACTGAATATTGTATATTCATCACAAACAACATTAGCAAAATGATGGTTCGACGAAATGGACGGTTCGCTAAAACCAATAAACCAGGCAATTCAGGCCAATTTGGAAAGAAACTAGATAGCGTGATAGCGAATGAGGATAGTAAGTGAAATATATTTTGCAAAGGTCAGCTTGTAAACTACTGGGTAACCCTAAATGATGAGAAATATGTACAAAATATGTTTTGCATGATTTATTCATATCCCAATGATTTAACTCCTTCACTGCAAGGTATATATATACTAATTACGGGACATTTAGGAATTAAGTGACTAGACCAAAGCAAGCATGTTTGAGATTTTAATGATTTTAAATAAATTACCACTTCATTATTTGCTTTTAGACATTCAATCAGTTTTATTTGTCCAACAAACCATATTCACAATTGTTCAATCCAACGAAGATTAGGGGATACGCTAAAGAGACCCCTCCATTTGTCCGTCCATCCATCCTTCAACTAGACAACAGCAACACCAAAGTGTAGCAAATCCCATCGAACAGCCATGACTGGCAGTTTTTTTTACAAACAAAGTATACAGCAAAAATGGCAGCCATTTTTCAAAATGGCCACCTTCTACCAAAAGTGTCATTAGACAGTGTGCCAAGCTTATAGTATTCACGCATCAAATATGAACAAAATCGCTCTACTATTTTTTGAGTTATAGTAAAATACGTTAAAATGACGGCCATTTTTCAAAATGGCTGCCTTCTACCAAAAGTGTCATTAGACAGTGTGCCATGCTTATAGTATTCACATACCAAATATGAACAAAATCGCTCCACTACTTTTCGTGTTATAGTAAAATACGTTAAAATGGCCGCCTTCTACCAGAAGAGTCATTAGACAGTGTGCCATGCTTATAATATTCATATACCAAATATGAACAAAATCGCTCGACTACTTTTCGAGTTACAGCAAAAATCGTAAAATAACGAGTAAAGGCCGCCATAGTTCAATTCTTTGAAGCAAATGATTCTAAAAGTACAACATATCTTTGAAAAAATATCATTTTGTTAAGTGAAATTGTAAAAAATATTTTGCAATGTGTGAAATTGAATTAAAGCACATGATTCAATGAATAGTGGATGCTTCAATTCACTTATGTCTTCTAGTCTAGGCTTTGAATTCGGACCACCCTCGTTCACAGTCTAGAATCAGGAAATATGTTAAATTTAATCATCTACAATCAATCTATTTTTACAGGTTTTTATGATTATTTCAGATTTTTCTATAGTTTGCGTAACCAGGACGGTGAATTTTCTTCATTTTTCATCAAACATTTCGTCTTACCAATATTTATTATATCTGTCAATTTTATCAAAATCGCGCCGCTACGTTTGAAAATAATTCAAATTATGTAGTTTTCCCATTGAGCTCCATTATAAAAATGGAATTTTCAAACTTAATATTTTAAAATTCTACGTGGTGAAAAGTTGCATATTGAGTAGTTAGTTAATGTTATGGTGTTAAAAATTCAAAACAAAAAGGAATAAAGAAAAAATGCCACAGAGAAGTCTCAATAGAGTATCTTTAATGCTATTCCAATAAACGCGGGCTGCTGGCTCGAATTTAATCCTATAATATATGTGATATTATGTTGTGTGGTTTGTGGTGAAGACTGTTTGATTAGGAAATAATGTGCAATTTTGTGGAAAAATCACCTACTTAGCTTTCATTGTTCATTTTACCCTCATTCAAATCAAGATCGGCCAATATTTCAATTATTCTCAGTCGTACATGGTTATTGTATATGGTACCAGAATGATTAGTTCTCATATACAAGCTTTCCTATTAATTACAACACTTACTTACCCTAGCACTATTATTTGAGTTGCTGTGAATGTAATCCCAATACTCTGTGATACAAACAGCACGGACACACATATAAATATTACAGAGCCATCTTTATTAGTGTTGATGCTGAGTGGAAGCACAAACTTGCTAACCCGAACGTCTATCCCAACCCCTGCCGTGTTGAGAAATAGATAAGGTAGAGCCGCCATGCTTAAATATAAATGAACAACATTTTAATAACTTTAATTTCAATCACAAAGATTCGAAAGTCTTGACGAGCTATTTTTTAACTTACTTCTGATTAATATAATTAATCAAATATAGCTGATAGAGATCATATCTGGTTCCCTACCTGGATGCAGGAACACAACCTGCCAAGACCGAAGGGAAAACTGCAAACATGAACATGAACGGGTTCTTACGGCAAGCTATGAAGTATATTCCCGGGAGAACGATGAAGCTGTGGATGCAGAGACCAATGGTGGCGGTCAGGGAGAAATATCCAAGGGATCGGAATGCTGAATAAAGATCTGTTATCTTTAATACAGCATAGGCAACTAGACTACCAAGCCCTATGGGAGAGTACCTACATATTAAATCAATGAAACAATGAAACAATGAAATGTAGAATAATGCAGAATACATGAAGAACTGAATACATAAATAAAACTTGTAATTAATGTTGTAAGATCACACGTTTTATTGGATTAATGCGAGTAACATCCGAAACCTACCATATAATTGCAGTCATCATTTTAAAGACGATGTCATTTACTCCACTGAAGAAGTTTAACACAGGCTTGGCGGAATCCCCCGTTGCACTTGCGGCAATTCCAAATACTATACTGAATATGATGATACCTAAATGATAAAAGATCACGTGATTTATCATCCGGAATAATATGGCCGAATCGCCTTTAATCGCAGATTGAACCAACTCACTTGATAAGTGTCAACTGTAAGGAAAAGTGAAAATATTTTCGAAATCCATCGTTTGTTCGTGTTACAAATGCAGCGTGGCCGACAATATTAAACGGTATTTTGACTCCATTGATTAATAACATACAGGGTGTCCAATAAATAAGGTGAAAGATATTGTAACTTTCTTAATATTGCACCAATCTTGATGAAATTTTCAGAGTTGGTAGCCCAAACCTTTTTACCTTTATTCTGTGAATTTAAAGCGTCTTCTATTTGATTGGCCAGAGTTGTGGTTGCTATAGCAACCGAAACAACAAAAAGGCGGGGCAAGTTTGTTTACGTCACAACTTTCCAAAACATATTTATTCTTTCTGATAGCTTTATTCATACTCCCAGGTCTATTACTATCACAAGTACAATATAAAAACAGTCCTAAAGTCCAATTATTATGAAAATAAGCTATTCAACATAATGTCCATCTCTAGCTATACACTTCTTATGCCTATTCACCCACTCTCTAAACACACCTTCAAACCCATTCTTGCCCATTTCCTAAAGTCCTGCTGAGACATGTGATCTGAGTTCATCAGTGCTTCCAAATTTATTTCACGCTTGAGGTCTGCATATAAGTAAAAGTCATTGGGTGCAAGGTCTGGGGAAAATGGAGGGTGTGCAAGTAGGGGTAGCCCCAGTGCCCTAATAGTTTCACTAGTGAGCATAGCTGTGTGTGAACTCAGATCACATGTCTCAGCAAGACTTCAGGAAATGGGTAAGAATGAGTTTGAAAGTGTGTTTAGAGAGTGGGTGGATAGGCATAAGAAGTGTAAAGCTAGAGATGGACATTATGTTGAATAGCTTATTTTTATAACAATGGGAGTTTAAGACTGTTTTTATATTGTATTTGTGATAGTAATAGACCTGGGAGTATGAATAAAGCTATCAGAAAGAATAAATATATTTTGGAAAGTTGTGACGTAAATAAACTTGCCCCGCCTTTTTGTTGTTTCGGTTGCTATAGCAACAACAACTCTGGCCAATCAAATAGAAGACGCTTTAAATTCACAGAATAAAGGTAAATAGGTTTGGGCTACAAACTCTGAAAATTTCATCAAGATTGGTGCAATATTAATAAAGTTACAATATCTTTCACCTTATTTATTGGACACCCTGTACATTGGCATTAGTATACATTATATTGGCTCATGATATTCACCCAATGCATTCATTCCATCCCGATAATCTCTCTCCTTTACGATCTCAGTTATGTTCAACGCACTGTTTATGATCACTTCTTTTCTCGACGTATGGATCTGAAAGTATTACAATTTTACAATGACTGATAATGATCATTATGACAGATCCCACTTAGAAAAGTGAATTAATCAACAACATGTATCTGATTAGATTTAACATGTGTCTGATTAGATTTAATATTTTCCCATCGATCATGACACCACCAAAAAGCTGGTTAAATGACCAAACAGGCAAAACGTTTTTGACATGTTATAGATGACATGACATGACTTTAAATAACTTATGACAAAAGAGATTTAGTTTTCCTATTTTAATATAGACGTTATAAATATTCTATCATGACACATTGAAAATCTTCATTATAGATTATACTTACAGACTCCATGCATGCCTGAACTATATTCTCGGGTACCATATTTCTGAGTAAATCCGCAAATAAATCGGAGTAACTTATAATTGGCTCGCCAGTGTTGTAACCTGGTGGCGCATTTTGGTTGAATTTCTCCCCTGGTCGCATTACAAGTCCAAGAACAATTCCAATGATAATACCTATTGCTTGTGTTAAGCATATATAGCCAATAGTAACACCGCCAATCTTACCATTAGAACGGGGGTCCAGCGAGGAAACACCTAAAACATACATGTACCAAAGTACGTATAGGCATAGGCGGTATGAAAATATATCTACAGCGTTGAGATGGGATCCCTTCCCAACCCAGCTATAATTGTCTACAAACACCAACCAATAAACCTTTTCTGAGTTTCTAGTAAAAACCACCATGAAGAGAAACAACGTATTCGAACACAGATCTAGAAATATTACAACTGAAGACGCATGCGCAGCATCAGCGCATACACTAACAGATCGATTCTTTTCTAATGACCTCAACATTCACCCAGAATGCCCAAAAACTAATCAGTTCTAAATGTTTGTACTTAAAAACATCCCTGAAAATTTTAGATTAACCCGTGAGACGGTCTGGCTGGAAACCTGTAGACAAGCCTCGAGAGACAAGATATTAGGACGAAACTCCTAAATTCAGCCGCCTTAAGATTTACGCAGAATGTCCATAAAACAAATAGCTCTAAGCCTTCACACATAACATCCCTGGAAATTTCAGATGGATCCCTCAGGTGGAAACGTATCGAAACATTGATATCATAGATTGAGTTGGCTTGATCGAGAAGAGGCGACTTGCTGGACCAGGCCCAGACCCAGACACAAGAAACGGAGACTAAATATTACACAAGCTTCAAAAACACGGATGGACGAGTAAGGATACTTATATTGAACTATTATTTAAGTTGCAAAGAATTTAAAGATCTGGTGAAAATTAAATTGAAACTTCGAAATCGACATCAACACAGGAGGGATCAAACAGCACTCTCCGGTAAAATCCAACGATCTGGTAAAAATCGCACTCTCGGCTGACGAGATCTCGGTCACCCTTAGCTGACGTAACCTTATCTCAAGTTTCTTCAAAAACTGGGACAAACTTGAGATGTCAATTTGTGTGCAATCCACGAACAACCGCGGCATTATGTAAGTATTCTAAAAGACGCAGATGATGTGAACACACATTTAGCAAGCTGAATATACTATCAAGAATAAGCTAGATCGATGGACTTACGAGATAGAGCCTTCGTTTGGAAATGATTTGCCAAACTACACGATTTTTTACCCGATCGTGCGGATTTTACCGGAGAGTGCGGTTTTGTCCCTACCTGTGGCCAAGCAAAATCAAAACCACGTTTTAACAAGGGCAAATCCCCTCGAATAACTAATCTTATTTAGCACCTTTATCTTGCTTCAAACAACACCTGCTGCCTTTGTCAAGATGCCCAATTCAAGGTTGGTACATTTGAATTGAGTTTCTCGCTACTTCAAAATTAGGAATTTTGCTCATGATTAAGTACATCCCTTAACTAATGATTGACTTAGGACAAAACCACACATTGTTTTATTTGGGAAAAGTATACAAAGTATCATCTCCATTCGGTTTTGTTTTGTGAAGATCGTATTATTTTAGCATAAAGAATCCTTTATCATTCTATATTGGAAATTTAAAAGCATAGGTGCATGTACTTACCTGTCTGATAATGCACCGAGGGCGGAGTTAGTAACTAAGTTAGTCAGCTGCCTGGTTACTGAGTTACTTACTCAGTAAATAAGTATCAAAGTTAGCCAGGTAGTTAAAAAAAGTTAGCTACTAAGTGACGAAGTCAGTTATAAAAGCTAGTTATAAAGTTAAGTCAGTCAGCTATTACTATTTTAGATACAAGGTTAGTGACTTAGTTGGTAACTAAGTTAGTTAAAAAGCTATTTAAAAAGCTACTTAATAACTTCTGAGGTAGCGTAGCTATTGACCCAAACAATTCTTTTAGACCTCTTTGAAAACCTAATTTTTGAAATCCCGAATGTCAATTAGAGTCAACGACAGGTCAACTATCAAAGAGATGACAAAGTGACTCCTGGCAACGTTTAGATAATGTTCATTGATGTCATAACATGTTCCTTTGTATGATCCGAATTAAATAGAGAATAAAAAACTTTCGAAGGTCATTGAGGGCCAAAAGACCCTGTATGGGTACCTGTGATTAAGCTGGCAACGATCAGAGGAAGAATGATCATCTTCAGCATACGGATAAACAATTCCCCTGGCAATCCTATCCACATAATAACGCCATCAGATGGATTCGCGGACCTCACTCCCAATCCAAGGAAAAAACCAATCACAATTCCACATAATGTCAATATAAGTAGCAAGTTTTGTTTTAATCCAGATGTCATCGATGCTTTGGTGCACAAGCATCCTCTGCCGCAGTTTTTCGGCTTCATAGTCTTAACTTACTACAGCTAGTGAGTAAAGTAGAATGTGTATACACTGTTAGTAGGAATTTTGAGCTATTTTTAAAAGACTATAAACAGAGACGGTGCATGATTTTCTGCCAAATTATATAGTATAACAACGTGTGCGAACTCATTATGATAGATTATATGATGTAATCAAAGATAAATATGGCATATACACAATTTAGCATCTTCATTGAATATACACTTCAAGTTATTGCAATTAAATAACATTTACTTTACAATTTGTCATCTCATTATCCACGTGTTTCAGGTGAGGATTAAGAACATGACATTCATGAAGCCATTATGCAGTTATGAAGACATTGGGGAAATACATGACGACCGCCCTCCCCCACCAATCACCAATCCTAGATGACATACAATGCTGGACTTATTGAAGGAAGTTTGAATTAGCTCGGTATGTCTTACTACAACTTGCTTTATATAACTCAAAATTTGCCAATTTGATCCCTGGCATACAATCGAACAGCCAAATTCTTAAAAAATAGGCCTGAATTCATCTAGAATTAGCAAAAACATTGACTTTCTGCACGTTGGTGACGATGCACCTTTTTAAAAGATCTAATATTTTAGAAGCGTATCAGTTCAAAAAATCCTAGAAGACCTAACATATTTTACCACCTTGCGCCTATTCACTTAGCAATTCAATTGTAAACTTTCTCTTGCCGCATCCCACCCCTCCTCCTCCGTTCATTCTATCCGATCACCGGATGTGTGACTCACTTTTGCTTAATGTTAAAAGCTTACAATGGTCACTTAATTTCATGTTTTATCAAAAAGTGTTGATTGAATCTGTCTAAAACTGTCGAAATTTCATACTATGGATTGACCATGTTAATATGCATATTGTTCTTAATCATCATGACATTTTAGTTGACGAATAAGCCAAGGTTTTAAAGAATTTTAATATTGCACCAATGGAGATTATTTGGCCCTCTCTTTTTAGAATAGTTGAAAAAATCAAGGAATTGAAGACTGACGGACGGCTTTTCTTTATCCCTTTCGAACTACGTTCGGTGGGATAATTACGCCAATATTTCGGCCAATGATTCCAAAATCCAATTATATATGTAATGGATGTCCATGTGACCTAGGATTGGATGTTGATGGGGGTACGGCCATTATAAAACACCCTCTACGTGGCGGGCACGTTCCGATATATTTTCTAGTACATTGTTTAGATTATTGGTGAAGTCAAACAGGTGTTGGAAAAATAGATAGAAATAGATAAAGTCTCTTCACAGTATGATGCAAGTGAAATACTGGACTTCGCATACTTTCTGCATATACACTGATTGACATAGCCATATGCATTGCGATGAATCTAAAAGCACTATTGAAAATGGTATTCAGCACGTCATTTAATTAAAACTTGATGAGAAATATTCCCCTATAAATATTCCAGAGTGTACTATACGAGGGTTGTCCTCTAACTTTATCAATATTTGATATTTTTCCATGAAATTTTCATGATCCTTTGACATATTTTGATTATTCTACAAAGTTCCATATCAATCGATATACTATATTGATGTTATACTAAAATCAAGTTGGTGAGTCTGGGTAGGGCAGGTTTTTTGTCACGTCGAAAGAAATAAAAAATTGAAAATATGAAATAATTAATCAACTAATATCATTTTGTTTTGCTTTAATAAGACCGCTCAAAAATAAATTTCACTAGGAGCATATCTTAGATTTAATTGATGTATTATTGCACAGTCCGCTTTCATGTTTCCTTGAAATACTGGCCTAAGTAATTTGACACTGTATTTTTTAAAGTCATTGTTAAAAGTATCTTTTGCCATCTCATAAGTGTAGTTCTATATCCTGTGAAATATAAATAGAATAACACTTAAAAGATATTCATGATTAGAAAACTGATACCTGCCCCGCCCATCCCTTCTCACACGTTGCTGTAGCAACCATTTCCAGGTTTAAAATAAACCTATATGATGCTGAAACTTAAGGATACAATAATTAACACTTCAATTACAATACACACAAAATTTTACCTGAATTGAAGAATATTCAAGAAAGTTAGAGCATATAGTGCTTTTCTTCTGGGACAACCCTACATTATACATTATGGCGCTATTGATTCTGTTTTATCTACATCAATTGTTGGAGAAAATGACTGTTTCTAAACTACAGGTCTTGTTTCATGATTCAGTCATTTTCATGATTTTGTGGTTGTATTAGCCTTGCCCAAGTCGGTCTCTTTTACTTATCTTGATTTCCATTATGACTGCCTTGTACCCAAGAGAAAGCCACGTGCTTTACCGACCCAATGTTTATGTCGGTAAAATTTGACCAATCAACGATAGCCCTGACGCGTTAGCTCATTATTATGCACGGTCAAAAACAAGTACACTTTTCACCAGGACTTTTCACGAACAAATCTAGCATGAATTCATCATGAAAATACAAATATTTTATCAGATAAATATCAATCAGAGTTAAGTGGATGCTGGAGCATCGATCAGACACCCGGAGGTGAGAAGATTTCAACAAGAAATGTTGAAACGATCGCTGAATTCAAATGATCGAACATCTAGGCTGAGATTCAATCACTGAATCCGAGATCGACAACTACATGGCCGGACTAAACTGTCTAAAGGTCTTCGTGCATTTTCATCGCTAATTCAGTTTTAAATCAACATTGAATCGCATGATTTAATTTATATTAATGACTGCTTACATTACAATGTACATTTAATTACATATTAATAAATTGTAACTCAAGAAACACTCGATCAGATCATTGAATTTCAAGTCGTAGACGGGTAATTTGCCTTGTTTATGCAGGTCAACCTGATAACGTTTGATTGGTCAATCGGCCTGAAGTCACACGTCGTGTCGATGCGATCTTGTCAATCAATAAGGTTTCGCGATACCCCTGACAGCGTAGGTATTATGGAAATCTCGAAACCGCTGAATAACTTAGCATAATATCAGCGGAGATTTATTGGATTGTACAAGGCGGTAATAATTCAAGATCAGATAAGTAAAAAAAATACCGACTTGGGCAAGGCTATGGTTGTATCATTTCCTATTGATTTTTCTCGTGACAAAAAGTTCGGATTATAATTAGAACATTGGATTTCAAATAAAGCATTTAGAACTCTAAGCCCAGACTCTGTTTTTCATCTTCAGCACCCGTTTTGCACCCAAACCTTAAAGTAGTTGTATTTGTATTTTCTAGAAGATGTCCAACCTGTTCTTGTTTTATAATATGTCATTGAATAACAACCAATAAATTACAATTGTCTTCAGCTGAATGTTTTTTATTAGCATGCACTTCTACCATTCTGATAATACAATAAATAAATAAATAAATAGTTTCTGGCTTTGTTTTAACCAAGTTTAACCAAGGATGAGTTCGTCTGGATCCTTGATGGGTTTCCATGATGGTGAGGAAGGTGTTGACGATGTGCCCTTGGGTGCTGTCGTTACCGATGTTTGCCTAATTTGTGACATCTTGGGTTTAAAAGAATACACAAACACTCTGTCTTTGCTATAACTTGGAACAAAAAGTTCTTTGTAACCATCTTTGTCAATGTCTGCTATTGCTATACCACCAATCGTACCATCTCCATCTTCAAGAAATGTCTTTGTCTCGTACTCCCAATTATTGAGGTCAAGGCTCTTGGGGTAAAGTATATGGGCAGACCCATCATCGTCACCAGAGACAAGAATCAGTGGTTTTCCACTCTCATTCCTAAATAAATTGAAAAATGCATAGCGGTGACAAAACAATTTTCAAAATAAGCAAATTATTAGGATTGCATATTCCTCAGCTAACATTTTGATTCGACTTTTACAATTGTCTGAGAGGCATATACCAACAACAGTGATTCGAGTTTGTCAAAATAAGAAAGACATTTACTTACTTTGTGTTTGGAAAGAAAGCCTTTGATGATCCCGGCGATCCTTTCCCAGGGCCCCAGCTTTTGGAACTGAATCCCGTCGCCAACGTATGCATCACATACTTTCCTGACCTATATAGCAAATTGTATTATTTAGTTGATCGGATACAGCAAGTCTGTATCTTTATCTACTTAAATGACTTAGGGAACTTATGAATCATCAAGTATGACTATTATTTTATGTGCCTTATTTGTAAAATATTTGTTCCTGGCCACCGAGTTGTAAAAATTTCAGAAAAAGAGTTGACCAGCTTGGTCGCGCTTCATGATATGGTATATTTCTGATCTTTCAATCTCGAAAATAGACAAATGTCCGTTGCATATATTTTCAGATTTTACCATTTAATCATTTTCGACTGGTAAAAAAACTGATAGACATTACCGTTTTCAGCAAAAAAAATCCCATGGTTGGTTGTTGAATTGAAACTTGAAAATTGAAACTCTGTCGACCAGAAACAAGAATATACATATCATACATAAACCAACCTAAAATCAATTGGCACTTCGAAGGCTAAAACCTTTCCGTTTTCATAAGCATTGAGTGAGACAAGGAGGTCCAGGCGACCATCCCTGTTAAGATCCATAACTTGAACATCAAACATCTGACCTAATTTTGTTGCGATCACATTTTGTTTCACCTAGAAATAAATAATTCAATTCATCAATTTATGTTAGTAGTTGTACTAGATAGTTGTACTAGGTATAGTATTCCGCTCAGCATGTGGCTTCGGATAGTACATTTCGGGAAATAATTTACACTTTTGCCCTCAATGGCAGTCACTATTTGCATAATATGGTCCTTTGAACATTTATGCAATATTACAAGTGTACATTAGCCTACCATCACTCATGATTGACAGAGTATATCATGGGTAATTTTCTAGGTAATTTTGAATTAAGGCTTTCAGTACCTGAACGAAGAAAGATGCAAGTGATCAGAACTAAACCCAAATACAATATAAGTGTGTATACCTTGGATTTTTCCCATTCACCAGACGGCGACCAATAAATAGTTAAGTTCTCTGAGAAATATGAGCTGGTAATGATGACGTCATACATAACGCCATCTGCAGTCATCTCTGCTAAAGTGAACATGTTATCGGGCCCAGATGCTACGATATGTTCCGTCCAAGGTCTTGAGAAGTTGTAAGGTGAATCACGGGGATTTTCCAACCAAAGTAGGTTTCCCTCAGTTGAACCTTTAAAAGAATAATACATAGAAATAGCTGGAATAATACTACAGATAACTATAGTTTGACCCGACCTTTGGTGAATCTGACCTGGATGGCACTACAGGATACACTACAGCACTACAGCGGTGCAAGAAGGGCCGATGAGTAAGATGATCAACCCACTGTCCCACTTTTTACTGCTATCATCTCCTGACAGAAAAACATCACTTGGGCAACATTTACTGCCATTGATTTTGCGTCATTTAGGCGCCAGATTCAGATTTCCCCATTCCTGAAGCTTTTAAAACCTAGTTATCATATGAAAAGAAGCGGCTTGCGCCACTGAGACCCTTCTGGATCCGTGACTATATAAAAACTAGTTAAGTAGGTGAGAAGTGTTTGCGCGTTTGTTTGTACCATGGTTACAATTCCGGGTATTGCCTTATCTTGTTTCTAATGAATGGAAACCTGCAAAATATATTTACAGGCCGTAAAAGTTGGCTGGCCCAACTGCCCCCCCCCCTTTAATTTAACAACCAGCCTGTAAAAGGACTTTGAAACCATGAGAGTATGTTTCACTGTTTGCCTGTTTTTGGACATTTACATCTAAATACACAATATTTGATGTTTGATTCCTTAAGAATAGTAAACATAGACCCATTAAACATATCTTAAACATAAGTGTAGATTGGATAATTGTCAAAGCTAGAGCAGTTTTAGTAAAATACATTTACTCTTTAAGCTTTAAATTAATTACCAAATATTGGTTTCCTTCCTCTACAAGTGACAGCATCGGGGAGACCATCTTTGTTCATATCTTTCCACAGAACACGATGGAAGAACCAGTCCTTGTCAGCACCACCTTTAGGTGTGGATATGTCGAACGGCCCGACACTATTACGAAGTATAGTCCCAGGGTTCAAGTCAAATATATTCACAGCACCATCCTGTTTTCCGGGAACTAAGAATCCACCCGGTACAGCAATAGAATCTTTTCCAAACCCAGGTACTATAAAGTTAGGAAAACATTTTTAAATATTTAATGAAACATATTTCAAATGACATTAGTCATTTAAAGCAGTAAACGGAATTTTGTAGAGCATTTATAATTTTTGTACTTATATAAAGAATAAGTACTTCGATAAAGACCTCTATAAGTTCTACATCATATTCCAATATTGGTGGTAAGCTACAACTTATGGCAGATAGGGTAGGGATACAAGACTAGATATACTCACTTGGAACGGGTTCGATTTCATTCGGCCATGTTACTTTATCCGTCAATGTCTGGACATTGATGTTAGTAATGTTTTCTGAAATAACCTTATCAATATCGGTAACGTAGTAAATGTGATCGCTGTTCCATGGAATCGGATCAAAGCTGGAGATGATCAAAGTGAAGTTGCCGTCATTCTGATCTTTGTTCAGGTTATCATAAGCTGCTATGAATGACGGATACGTCACTTTAAATTCTGAGATCAGCCTTGGTGAGATCTCCGGTTCGGCAAGAGCTGTGGCGCTACAAACTAGAGAAAGGCATATTGCCATTTCAAATACGCGCATATGTTGAGACATCCTTAGATGATTCGCGCTTTTTCGTCTACTCATCTTTAATGATTTCTTTTTCATTTGACACTGTGTTGTCGGGATCTAGTAACGAAATTTATATTGTCCTTATCAATGTAAATGCATATGTAAGTTCCACACTTTCACATGTTGGTACACCCTTCTGAATAAGATAAGAGATAAGATTGATGATTTGGTAAAACAAAACAAGGCATGCGACGTGTGTATTGCAGAATGATCTAAATTCAATTATGAACATTCGCTTATCCAAAGACAAAATGGGAATTTTTATAGTGTTATATCAAATCGTGATGACTTGTATAGATGGCATAATTGCTAACTATTGTTGGTCTATCTTCATGGATATGGCAGTACTTGATATCGACTCAATACTATCACTTAGACTTCGAAATCTCACTTTACAGAGGTTTTATTCAGATCTTTTAATCTCCCAGATTTAAGGCATTTTTAAAAAATCACTAAACTGACACATGATCAATTGCTTTAATTTGGCGCTAGTTAATTTTTGAGTAAAATATGGATATTGGAAGGCTAGCTAACTATTGAAAGAATTCTCAATGATATTTTTTTTAATTGGCAGAGACTTAATTTGGTGGATTGTATCAATCCGCCAAATCAGCCAAATTAAAACGGCTGTCAAATTAAAGCAATTTACAGCATTGAAATCGTCCTGTGTTACACGAGTTGTGTGTCGCGAATTGGTAGCTTATAACTCTATCGTCTGCACAAGAATAGATGTCTCTCAATCTGTGAGTCGCTGTAAAATATTGAATAGCACCAAGGGTACTTCTATTTTGCACCCCGTTGCATTTTTGGATTGAATATTACATCGATTTATGTTTACGGTATTTGTTCACCTTTACGCAATTGTGTACATTTGTACATTTGTGTTTTTGTCAATGTCAGTTAAAAATCAATCAATTAATAATATAGGATATTGAAAACCTTTGTCAAATCGAAGATAACCTGAACCATTGAGTATGTTTAGCCGTGGTGTGTGGTGGTACTAACGAAACTATTATCCTAATATGTAGTGGTTCAGTTCTCTATTCAGTCTGCTCTATTGTATGGCTATAGTTGGTATTTTGTTTTAGGACTTGGAGTAAATGGGCAAGGATTAGCGATATAAGTCTTATACATAGCCTAAATGTATCTTATTGATAGCAGTATAATATCTTAAAATAAATTGAAAGTGAAGACCTATTTCTTCACCACCTAACCCAATTTTTGATCAGTAAAATAATTATATTTGTTCCACGTGTGAACCAACTTTTAATTGTTTGTACTTGTTTATTTGTATAATCTCTGATGGTGATCAAAAGCGTTTCTGATAATAAAAGGTATTCTTGTCGTTTGTCTTTTTGGTATCCAAAACACCACGTTCATGTAGTCCTTTATAAAAGATCAAAATACTACACCGAAGAAAATAATCCCCTATTTACTTAAAATAATCGTTTCACATACTAATCTGATTAATGCATATAATTGTTTTCTGCACACTTTAAAACTGACAAATGTCATCTATACGTTTCGAGACAAAAGAAAAGTTTGATTAAAACAGTTGGTCAATATCAAGGCTTATTCCTCACAGATTATAGTATAGGGCATTCGACGGCGGATTGATTTGGCTAATGTTTACGAATCTGGTTATTCAATGGCCGTAGTATAGCAACAGTACACAATGTTGTAAACAGTTGATATAGCCTTTGTACCCGATAGTCCAATTACACTTTATTAAATCTCTACACGCGAACGGCTGTGAGACTTTTAGGATTAACTTTTACTTGTCAGTTTTGATACATCTTATTATAGATATTAAAAATGGGTTGTGGAGGAAGCAAGAGCACTGGTACAGAGAACCAACAGAAGAAAGCAGATCCTGCCCCTGCTCAACAGCATAACGAGCAAGCAGATAACAAGAATGGAAGCGGTAGTGCCCCCGACAACAAGGGTAAGAAAAATATATAAACTACTCATCATGTCCAATCATTTCATCAAATATCCTCCATAGTCTGCACTAAAGTAATAATAATCAGTCCATTCGATCCAATTTTGGAAGTTTGTGGTAAGTGATGTATAAAGTAACTGTACTGCCCGGTCGGGCTGTTCTATCGATAAGCTTTATCTTAAAATAGGATACATATAAATCAGATGAATTGAAAACATTAATCCCATAAGTAGTGTACCGTGAAAGAAAACGTATACCATAATAGAGGATTATTCCATTATTATTCATTTGATAGTTGCAGAATGTTTTAATTATTGATAATCAGTTGGTGAAACTAATGTAAAAGCCGGATAAAAATAACAAGTGAATATCGTGATCAAAACACATGTATACGGATTTTCTTGTCAGAATAAAGGATCAGAAAACATCAGCTAGGCAACGCGGCTTATCAACAATTAAAATAAAACTTTTCTCCCTACACCAAACCAAATATGTGGTCTACACTAATACACATATATTCTCGTGACAAAAACGGACATATCAATTAAGATTATTAATGAATCTATATTAGGTGTTTCTAAATACAACTATAATTTGTGTAGCATGCCCTTCGAGAGTTGAAATCTGAAAAATCTGAAATTCGAGATATCCATGTGCTATTTCGTAGAAATTGGAGTTGACAGTTGGGAGAGGCTCAGTGTGGTCGTTCGGACCATTCTGCTTGTGACATGTAAGATGACATCGGTAAAGCTAACTAATCCCTTGATCACACAGATATCAGTTACATACGTAAATGATACCAATAGTGACTATTTACCATTACGGGATAACAGAATTATACTATTTGATGAATAAAACTATAATTAACTCAAGATCAGCGTGGATCCCCTAAAACATACGACTAGGTGGATAAACTAACAAAGTGGGATGATAAATCTGATTTAGAAACAGACACTTGTTGATCGATCAGAAATAGTTAATTGACCATCGAGACTATCCAAGTATAATACAAAGAGTAAATACTAGAAGTATAAATTGATCCTCATGTGGAACAAACATTGTATACAATCAATCTATATTGAATGCTTTCAAGTTGATGTTGTATTGGAAACGTTAACTGTTAATCCGCAACATTTACTAACTGTTAATTGCTTAGATCGAATATGAATAATTAAAAAGCGTGACTTATTATTTAGAAGACTATTCACAGCAAAGTTTTAGATATTGCTTGACTACAATAAACTACAATAATCATTATTAATGTTTGATGATGTTTACAAATCTAACACAATACGAATACGTGTTAACATGTGAAAATTATGGAATCAATTTGAGGAGGTTGGTTAATTTCAAGAATGTTAACAAATGAAATGTGTAGTGGCAACCAATGACTAAACAACAATGTTTAAATCTAAATTTTTCGCTGTCACTTTCGCTACCTGGAATATTAGAATTGATACATACATAATGATATTTATATTGATTTGAAAGTTTCTATGTCAACACTGATCTCTAAACCTATGTTGACATTCGGGCCGTGTGAAGTAGAAGAGCACATATACCTTTTGATAGCTGTTTAAAATAAACAAAGCATGACAAACAAAAACGATCAAGAATAAATAATATTCTTCTTAGTCAAATGCAATTGTTTATACGTAATGACATTGAATATTTTAACAATAACAATAGTATGTCTACTTTCATGACCAACCCATAGTAAATAGCAAATCCCTTCGTAAAGTTTTCTACCATATGAAATAATATGCCACAATAAGTTTTAGGAATCCCGATTCAGATTACATTTTAGAAATTATTAGAGTATCCAATTACAATGTCGATGTTAGCTTCATTGGGTACAATGACATCAGACAATAACCTATGGATATCGATTCTATTAGAAATCATACTCAAACATTCTAATAAAAATGAACAGGAATATACTTCAATAGTTTCGTGTATTATATAGTTTTGTATATGTGGCTATAATTAATTATAATTAAGGTCTTTGTATTCGTCTAAATAATACTATTTGAAACATATTTATGGGGACGAAACAATGAACAACATCAGTATTATTTTTAAACAATTTATAAAATATATTTGCCATTTCATCCGAACTCGACAAGATGACGGATAAGAAACATATTTCTAACATTTACAAATATAAGTAAACATGTATGCGACAGCATATGTTACATGATGAAGTTCAAAACACGAAACAGAGACAGAAAGTTCTACACCGATTCACCCTGACATTGTCAAAGAAGGTCAATCACCATTAAACCAAAAAACAGAAACCAAACAAACGGATATGTATTGACTGAATAATCGATTCATAATCCATTGTTAAAATATGAAGTTTACCATGCCCACTAAATACACACCAACATCAAGTATCGATGTATAAGTTGGAAGTAACGTGGCGGTTTTATGACAGGAGCTGTTGTGGCAACAATGATCGTTGCTAAAAGACTGTTAATTGAACTTCGATCCTTATCTTGTAAGCGGTAATGTAGAATACTGCTATAAGCTAACAACCTGGTGTACTCAGCCTCCCGAGTTCAATACTTACGACCAAGTCGGCTGAGACTCGAGACAACCAGTAAACTAACCAAACTCTGCAAAGGGTAGCCATCATATCATTATCACAACGGATTGTTGAACTAATATTAGAAAGTTAGACCAGTTGCTGAGGAATTGATTTCTTCTGTAGCTTTTGCACAATTGCCCTTTGATGATGAGAGCTTCACTGATAACAATCTGAACACTTTTTCCTCTCATTGACTCCCATGTTAAAAAAATCTTGATCTGAACATCCCCTAATCTGAACAATGAACAATAATATTTGAAAATTGAGCTGTCTAATCTGAACATTTTACAGTAATTCTATTCAGACTCTTCAATAATATTCTTGAATCTACAAAGTCCACACTGGCAGACTCACACTGTCATCGACTTATATATACCGAGAGACAATTATATTCAAACTCCGATGGAAATGCAATAACAATGAGAAATATCTTATAAAGCATTAATACTGTAAAACTACCGCTCTTATAAGAGGCTAGGAGTTCTAGCATTTGGATTCCAGGACATTGTACTTTACATGTAGTGTTATTGTTATCGGTTCGAATAGTTTATCGGTTTATATATAGTTGTTTGTGTTATTACAAGTGTTTAGTATTGTGTTTTCTTATTATTTTATCAGAAATGTTACAACCATCTTCGATTCATTTGGTATGATCTTGATCAAATATTCTTTAGGAAATGTCAACATGATATTAAGTCACATTAATTGTAATTACAGGTAGCAGAACAAGTGTCAAAGATAACAAAGAAGCTGAAAAGATAGAGGCTAGTGAGGAAAACAATGAGGAAAAGAAAGATGAAGAAAAGAAAGTTGAAACTGAAGAAAACAACGAAGAAAAGAAGGAAGAAGGTAAGTCCAATACTCATCAAGGCAAAGATGAATCGTATACGTAGTGCTGATCCTGAAAAATATGAGATATGCATAATATTGTATCATGCTACCATCAATACATATAAAGATGGCCAAAACCATGATTTTGAAGGATTGGCATTACCAAAGCTTTTATTTTCTGCTTTCATTATTTTCCAGGAAGAAGTGAATACTAGTAGTTTAAATATTTTGCTTGGAGCTTTTTGAAATGCTCATTGCTTAAGAGGCTTGTTACGTTTATTTTAACCATGGTTTGGAGGTGCCATTGAAACGTTTTTGCTTGTTTTAGTTTAATTTAGATTTCGTTAACTGCTTGGAATGTTGTCAGAAATGATACGTTTTGCTGTTTCGTTAATGTGCAATATACACATGTACTTGTTTAAATGTGCTTATATTTGTTTTATGTTCTCTTTAAGTCTCGCTTTTCTTTTCCCCCACTTCTTGCACGCTGTCTTATTTCCCCTATGAATCAAAGCATTCACACTGTATAGCCTACCTGTATCGTGGCTGCACCCCCGTGTATCATTACTACAAAATAGTACTAGCCTAATTAAAACCATTAATTAATAATTAAACAATGGACAATCAAAGTGAGATAATCAACGCTTGTACTTTTACAAACAATAATTGATACTCTGGTCCTGTTGAACTAATATCTATCTCCTCTATAAAAAAAAAACTAGCGAGATTTGCATGTTTCCAACTGAAACCAGAAAATAACCATTATATTAGTAATGGTCCTGATTCACTCCTCAATAAAATAACTAGCGAGATTTGCATGTTTCTAACTGAAACCAGAAAATAATCATAAATAACATCTTCGTTTAAGCATTAATCATTAAAAAACATCATCCACGTCATATTGATCCTTGCTTATCTTACTACATTGAATTTTACATCCCTGTAAAAAATGTTATGTTATGATTGAAAGGCTGATTGATCTACCGTAATATACAGCACCAGTAGCACGCATATATGCTGCCAATAACCTTTCAGTGGTAGATTGAGACTGATCTGGATCCTGGTCTTTGTTATGTGTGGTACTAGCTACATACACCCAATTCTTAATAACCATCTGACCATTGGTGATACGGATCAATTATGTTCTACTTTATTGTACAAGATAGAATACTTTTATTAACTTATCTTTAAGAGCTCTTGTCATCATATTATCTCTCTCGACACCTCTTATAGTTAAATATATAAATTCTAAACATGCTGCCCTTTATCTCATAACATGTAATAATAAAATTGTAGATAAATGTAAATGCCGAAGAATCAAAATCATTAACAAAATAATGACCTTCAAATCTAATCTCATTGCATGCGTGTTTTTCTCCTAAATCGTGGAATCGGAAGATAAATTGCACAATATGAATTATTAATTAACTGACTTTGCATGTGTTAGAGGAGTTGCACGAGTTAATCTATATTTGGCCTTCTTCTGAGTTTTGAGTCTGAAAATAGGTTCATGGGAATATTGATCTACTTTATAATTAGCCCAAGATTCTATGAATCCGTTTGAGGAGGCCGATAAACCTAATGAAGAGATGGTTCAAGATCTTACAATAGAGAACTTAGATGATATAGGTGAGGAAACCCCGCATGATACCCATCATAATATGAACTGAACTTAGAAATGAATAAGTTGAAAATGAGAATTTGGAATTGCTTTCCCATAATGAGAAAAACCTTAAAATTGTGTGATGAATAATTTGAAAACGAGTAGAATTTGAAATTGCTTTCCCATAATGAGAAGAGCTTGAAATTGTGTGAGACCTTTGTTATTACATTATTAACAGAAATTAAGATGAGTTCTGTTAAAAGATTAATGAGGTAAAAATCAATACAGTGCGCAGATTATAAAAAAAACTTTGATTAATTAGTTGTGATAAGGTTGGAATGTCGTCACATCGAATCTCATTGATCACCAGGTCTCCCAGATTATATTTATTTTTATCCACTTTCTATATGGTAAATCTAAACTGCTATGAAAACAACGGTACTTGAGTTTTCAATACTAAGACAGATTTTCGAGAGATTCAATTGATTTTTTACAGTTCGTAAGTCTTCCGATATGCTTTAAGCGTTTCTATTGTAAAATTGTACAATGTTTGCATTACGATTATAGTTAGTATTTACTCTCCAAAATAGAAAAACGTGTTGTGGATATTTAGCCCATAGAAGTGTAGAGGTACCTAGCGACCAAAGTTTCCCTTATTGCCCCACACAATCAAGATCACGGCTAGCTAATAAAAAATACGTATAAATCATAAAGACATTAACATGTAAGAGACCAGAACTATTCTTTCAGTAAAATGGTCTCTGACATCTCATCAATAACTAGAATTACGGATCTGGTCTTATGGGATAGTCTCAAGGATTTGATCGATTATTTTAATAATGTGATGTACTTTTTCTGTCGGTGTATCTTTGTAAAGAATATTAGCTCGATAAGTTTTGTGATTTATCATATCATTGTTTTTGTGGTTGCTATGGTGGATATCACAAAGAAATACCAATGATTGTGTTAAGCCAGACTGTTCCCCTGTAGTGTTTTATGGCTAATGTAGCTCCAAATGCAATATTAAAAAAATATGATAACTAAACTAATTTAGGATAAAAGTGAAGTTCAGAAATAGTTTGGCATACAAGAGAAAAAATTAATATTCAAATCAACTGAACTGTCTGGCTGCTTTACAAACGTGGGTCATACACACTCAATTCAAACATGATTAAAACAATTTCATTTCATTACAATATGGAAATAGTATACTGGTAAATATATTTTACAATGTTTGTGAGTATTTAGATGTTTTCAAATGTTGTAAACAATGCTTACGCTTCACGTGGCACAATTGTTTTAAAATAACGTCTTCGACGTCTCAACATATGCGACACCGTTCGGAAAACGGAATGTTACTACAATAAATATATATAACTACTATAAATCAGGAATAATAAAAGTAACGCTCAAATGAGCAAAACCTTTAATCAAATAAATAATTCAAAAATTGCAAGTGCACGAACTGATCATTTTTCATTTACTAGTAGTTATTAAGTTCTTCTTTAAACCCATCTATTTGTAATTAATACCAAATGCTTTTGTAACCCATAACAGTATAACTGCTTGTCTCATAATCCCCGCATAATCCTAACCTTTCTGCGAATCCTCTAGGAGAGACACCAACATCTCATATGCATTTGCTAATGTACATGGGGTCTCTTCTAGAAGATGTCAACCCTGTTGGACTTCCAATGCATGTCTGCTTGATTAACCTAGTTGCATCAAAATTGCTTTATTATTAGGCGAGGCGGGGCAAAAATCTGAAGAGAAGACAGAGGCAGCAAAAGAAGAACCAGTAAAAATAGAATCAGATGAGACTGATAATTCACAAACTGTAGCAGCTGATTCAGAAGAAACTCCTAAATCAGAGGAAACAGTTGAATCAGATGTAAAAACTGAAACTGCTGAATCAGCAGCTGAAAATGTTGATACAGCTGAGAAATCTGAATCAGATCAAATTACTGAACCAGAAAAAACTGAATCTGCTGAGCCAGAAACTGCTCAAAACGAACCAACTGAATCAGAAACTGCTCAAACTGAAGCAGTTGAACCAGAAACTGCTCAAACTGAAAATGTAGTAGCTGAAACTGCACAAAATGATGCAGCAGCAGAAACAACTGAAACTAATCCATCTGATTCACAAGCTACTGAAACACAACCCATTGAAACACAAGATAGTAAGTCACGCCTAGAAACTGAAGACAGCAACAGAGAAATATTGTATACTTTTGCATGATTCAATCTTAAAATGGCATGTGTTTCCCGTTTTGTATATATATCATCCTTTCAGTTTCATAAAATTATTTCTTTGCATGGTTATTCTAAAGTAAAATATGTGTTCTCCATAATCAAGTTTATATGATTTTTCTCATGAGTTCATTTAAATACCAACGTTCATAATAATTATAAATATAAAGGGTAATGTTTTCTTTGCTTAAGACTAAAATTATTTAGTACTGAAATGCATACTAAGTTGTTATCATCATAAGGAACGACAGTGTATATAACCATGAACATGATAATTGCAATCTGACTTGCCCGACTATGAACTACATGCCAAATTCCCTGTTTACGGTGCCCATGATCAATGTAATATTGTTTTTTCAGATGAAAATAAAACAGAGGAAACCCCAGCTACAGAAGGAGAAACCTCAGAGGAAACAAAAGCTGAGGAAACAGAAGAAAAGAAAGAAGAATAGGGACAATGTTGTTTTAGGAAAGTCTAGCAATTCTTATATTTATTATCTTTACAAAATATTGAACTGCTGGTTCAGCATTTATCAGTCATTGGAAGGACATCCAAAAAGCTTTTGATCACTTTCAAATTAAGTGAGAGTAAAGCCAATAAGGGGTGTAACAATGAAATTGATGTAATGTCGTCACAGCCACATGACAGTAAATAATCTGAGAACATGACTGAAATTCGCTCAATTCAGTTTAGGGAGGTTTTGTATTTGTACATCATTGACTTGTATAACAGTTGCAATACAGATATAGGGGGTTAGATTACAAACGGCTTAACAGGTAATGGTGAAGCCCTCTTCGATCAACCCTATATGGTACCAAACTTGATGCAAGGGTCATAAGGCATCAGTCATATCTGTCGACAGTACCGAGCCCTGTATGGTTCAACCATGTAGAATGAAGTACCAGTTTTGATATCAGGAAAACAATGATAACAGTGCAATGCAATATTTTTCATGGTGTGTATTAAATTGCTTGTTCGCAGTGTCAATGTTCTATTTGCCAGAATTTTGTAAAACTTGTGTTGTATATATTTTTCTAAACGCAAAAATGGGCATATGATGCCACTCTTAAAGAAACATAAATATTGCTAACTTTACTACGTTTGGCGCTTTTGTGTCTCCTTTACATGTGGAGGAACGTTGCTTTTTCCATTTGTCTAGGAGAGCGGGAGTCACATTGGCTCAACAGTCAGTATTACTTAGTGACTGCACGATATTTTCATCTGTCTATTAACGACAACAGTCACTTCTTTGCCGCGCCAAACGTCGCAATAGCAGCAATAATCTTGTAAATAAGGTCGTTTTTGTATCGGGATCATCTTCCATTTGTGGTAACAGATCAGAGGATAGCATGAAAAAAAGTTCATTCCCTTGTTATGATTAAAGATTTGGAAATAGCGTCTACTGATAAGTGTAATTGTAAAATGTAATTCTCCCTTATCAGCGCACTATCAAGAGGTGTGTAAGTTATGATAGCATTGTCTGGAGATTGAGTGTTCACATTATTCAAGCATTTCTAGATATCTATTGTACATATTGAACTTTCTGATATTACGGTCACGTCTTCATAAAGGACCGAATGTATATAGCTTACCGGCGCCATCTATATTGCTCAGTAGATCATCATCATAAGATGGCGCCATATGTATGGTAACGCACATAGCACGAATACATCTAGTGTAATAAACAAGCGGCCATATTATCATCGTTCATACAAAAATCATTTAGGTGTCATCAAAAGTCATTCATTTTTAAGATCTGATAAGGTGGACTTGAAAAAACTTGAAAATTACCAATCATCCAATCGCCATCACTACGTCATCAATAAATATTAAAATTATGATATCTGTGATAAACATTATATATATGAATTATATTATAAATGTAAATTACGAGCATGTAACCACATAAATAAATGAAACCGTCCAAAATGAATCTTTTATAATATATGATATACATTATCTACCTAAAATGATGTCTTGTTGTCTTATTTCTTCCGTCGTATTACATATTTCAAAATATGATTTTGATAAAATCATGGACTTGAAAAAATGGATTGGAATCTCCCATTTACGCATTGGCATCGTCTAATTTTATATCAACCATTGTTACAGATATAAATTCTCCAGAGCAGAATCCCGTGAAAGTTGTCATTTGTTTAGGCATCTCACAAAGAATGTGGTTTAAAAGCTGGCAAATATTCTGGATACCTTGATTGTTATGAATGTCCTTTCCGTAAATTATAAAATCAGCACATCCAACAGAAGCCAGAGAGAATTATTGAAAAAACTGTAGTGTAGTATATACGATTTCGATATTCTTAGTTTTCATTAAATTAAACTACTTTATATAGTTGACGTTATGCTTTGATATTTGAACCAAAACAGGGTTATATGACATGGAAACTATGGGGTATGATCATTTGTTCATATATCGTGCGTGGGCGCCACCGTTCAACAATATCTTCCACCGCCTATGGGGGCCCTAATGGAAGATAACTGGAAATGTATGATACGGAAACGGTCATGTTAGTTTTCAATACGCGGTAAATGGACATCTGAGCTCTCCATTATAAACTCTCATAACGTTACCGCATCACCGCATATCATAATATAATCTGTAAAACCAAAATACCAGTTCTCTTAAGCGGTGGAAGATATAGTTGAACTATGGTGCCTACGCATGGTATATGAACAAATGATCATACTCCAGAGTTTCCATGTCATATAAGCCTGATATAGTTCAAATATCAAATGTGCATAACGCCATCTTAGATAGATGCAAAGGTTACGGCCGTTACTTCGCTTGATACTGACCCATGTGTATCGGGTAAACCTAGAAGTAAAAGCAGAATATAATTCCGTCAAAAAATATTTAAGGTAACCAAAACGTTAGAATTCTGGACAAAAATGGAGATTTGGAAGATATTCTGGAATTCCCTTATATTTCTTATGAAGCGGTTAAAGCCTCAAAATGAACTATGTTTGTAAATTGAGCATTGTCAGCCTATTCGATATAAACAGACCAAATTTTCCAATAGATTCTTGACCATTTCGTCATGCCAATGTGTAAAATATACATATTATTTAGGGTGACATCTATTATATTAGTAATATGTTAAAAAAGAGACGCAGAGAAAAGATTTCAAAATGAATATTTCCTGACCTTCAGACCCACTACTACTAGGAACGAGTAAATAAACCCCTTCCTCTATATAATAGTTTGATTACAACTGGCATAGCCATGTACGTAATGAAGCATTGGTTTAAAGAGAAAACACTTAAGAAAACTCCAAAACTCTTGATATAAACAACGATAAAATGTATCCATATATGCATGTATCATTGATTTAATAGTTTTATTCTGTATTATGTTACAATGATTGTGTTGTTTAATTTTGCTTCCCATAAATATCACGCCTTTATAATATAACTGTAGTAGTTAGACTACAAACATTTAATGTCATTATATCACTCTCAAATGTTATTCTTTATTTATCCACTATTTCACCCAGTACAGCAATGGCTTCTATTTCAACCTTGGCTCCCTAAAAATTAAAAAATTAAATAAAACTATATTATTAAATTTCCAAACATATTGATACTGTCCGATGTACATTGGTTATGCACTTGGAGATTTCTGATACAAGATTTATCTCGGTAAAATATCAATCCACTGAAAAATTATGGATTAGGATCCAACCTTGGCATTTTTTGAAATGTTAGGCTTGTTTTCTTAAAAGAGGATCTTGTTTTTCTCAATTTAAATATATCAAAAGTTTTCTCTACACTATCAATAACTCCCGAAAGGGAGATGGATGGGTATTGAAATACGATAAAGTTAAAAGACACATATTCCATGTTATTTTCTCATTGGGAAAACTCATGCTATCCATTGTTTTCAGCTTAATTTGGTCATCGGAAATTGATATGTTCAAAATTAGACGTTTCATACTACAGAAGAAATTTTAGACCCCTTGTTGAATAATCTTTTCATGCAATAAAAATCAGAAAAGGAAGATCCCCTTTTGAGTAAATAGGTTAAACATTTTGAAAAAATTGTTGATATGGGGTCCCTATTCATAATTTTTCGAATTGTTCACTTGATATTTTTATCATCATGGGGACTTGACTTGCCATACTGCACATGGACCTTTAACGTGGAAAAGTTGAAAAGTCCCTAAAACAACAGGCGGTTTGTGAAAAAGAATGGTGAAAATCGCCTATTGCCTGCTGCTAATGACTTCATGACACAAAGGTTATTTTAGACATTTTTGAAATAAAACATTTTTTGAAAAAAAAATTCAGCTTTTTATCTAAAAGTTGAAGTTTTTTAATCAACTAATCCACTAAACAGTGCAAGACAAAATATCTTTTGGAGATTGACCATGATGATTGACACTATTTAAATCATAAAATATCATACACTTTAATGTGCCACTCAAATCGTTTAGCATATCAAAAATGTTGCATCCATTATTTAGATCCAGAAACATGGCAGCAATTCAAAATTATTATCACACAGTGTTTACATGAAATACATATCACATTCACATTACCTTTGGCAATCCAGCCACTGCAAATGCTGCTCTTGCTGGATATGGCTCTTTGAAATCTGCAAATCAAAGAGGCTGTCCTATGTACTTATCCTATGTACAATATGTTATCAATAAGCAATAGATAAAACAGATACTATTTAAGTATATAATGTTTAACATTATTTAAGTATTTAATGTTTAATGCGAACAATAATATATGTGTAATATTGTAATAAAATATTAATCATTATTATATCGATCCCTGTCATATTCCTCACTCTCTTATTGGTCCATGTCCTACACGTGACTAAAAAATAACTAGCGATATTCAACGGAAGTCACGTGACTTCCGGTGAATATCAAATGATATTCAACGGTCATGACTTATACATACATATTATACGGCAGTACTAACAAGGAGTCATCTCAGAATGGACATTTGAAAAACATTCCCAACCTGTTTCCCACATGGCCAATACTATGAGTATGAACACAATGGTTCCATTTTCATTGACCCATTGCAATGTTACAATTAATTATAATGTTAACACGAAACCTTAAATTAAAATACTAAAAGGACCTTATACACCCTTCATTGGGATCTCCCCATGGGAAAAAATAATTCATCTGATTTTTCAAAATGAGTATTCTGCTTCAATTATTACATTTATATGCACACTAGTATCTTGTTGACCTATATTCAGCACTGTATTGATGTATAGGCCACTTATTAGGGTCATAATCCAATCATGAAGTGTAGAGGCATATGATTCCAAACCAGGAAGTATTTTTGTGTCTGTCAAAATCCATTTACATCCTACGCATCCCTGCATCCTATCCAAATATTTTACTACATAATGAAATATAATAGTATAATCTTTGGTTTTACAAACTTGTATGATATTTGATAAGTGTAAAAATTGTTTTTGGAGCATTTTTCTATAGCCATTTTGTAGGGGAAAAAATGATGAAAAAATGTACAATCTTTTAATTTTAAGTATGACCTGAATCGATTGCAAACTTCATATTGGCACATTTGATGAGATAGACCATTTGTGTCGTATTGTGAAATTATTAAGTTTGCAATCGATTCAGGTCATAGTGTATTTTTGGTATTTCTGTGATAATCAATGGAAACCAATGGCCTCTATTGGGATCTGCTGATATCCTCATGTTAAGTCACTGGTGCACAGCCCCATGTAAGTCAATACAACCTTACTGAACGAAATGATCCCTATCTCAGCTTATGTGTGTCCGAGCACTTTAATATTTTCCAAAGTATTATATGACATTTTATTCTTCATGTTACACCTACAAATGATTCATTTTGACCATAGGGATATTTGCCAATAATTGCACCTTGTCCTTTGGGAGTTGATATTTATTGACTATATAATTTGGTAGTTGATATTAATTGTATTTATTGTTAAAATGTTAGAAGAAATATAAATGTATTTCAATGTTAACATATGACTTATTTAATTATAGAAGATGTTATGACAGTGAGATAATAAAACAAATATTTAATTCTATTTTCGGTGAATACCTATTACACTTTCACAAGAATATCACTTGTGAAAGATGCACAGGTATTCACCTCAATAGAATTAAATATTTGTATATTGTTACTGTACATTGTATTTCAAGTTTTGACAAATTGGAGAAATGATATTCTATTTTCGTAATTGATATTTTACTTAATATGGTAATGTATGAAAGACTCATTTGAAAAATGAGACATTTTGAAGATATTATTGGGATTTTGAATTGAGTTCTATGATTTTGCTTACATTTACATGACTGTTTTGGAATTTCAGATATTAGTCATTTAAATTAATGTGGATATCTACGAATGATGGTGATTTTTGGTGTTTCAAACTTATACATGTACTGGTGATATTGCTTTTAAGATGATCAATTTAGCAATACATGTACTTACATTGAGCATAAATTGTGTTGACAGTTGGGTAATCCTTCATGTCTGTCAACAGAACAGTGGACTTCACAACTACAAGTAAAAAAAACATAATTGTGCAAAATTAAAACAAATCCAACTAAAACATATAAACATTGACTGGAAACATACTATTGATACACAACTTTTTCCTTCTATATGCCATGTTATTTTCAAAGCATGGCTTCAAAATAACCATGGCTGAAACTCCTAAATTTAAATGTTCAAAAAGTATACCTAGAATATGAATGTATTTTTCTATATAATATTGCAATTTGATTGCTTAATTTTTAATGTTTGATTGACTTTGACTGTAAAATGGACTGTGCATGCAATATATGTATACCAAAAAAATATATACACTGTCTGACTATATATAAGATGTCACTTACTGTTTGAGAAATTACCACCAACACTGGCCAAAACTGCTTGCATATTCTTAAATACCTAATAAAAATTAAATGATTACTCATGAGACGTAAAACTCTTAACATTGCATAGTATATGTTTTGTAATGTAATGTATGTTACATTGCAATCTTGTGGCTTTGATTTTACATTGTAATTTATAACCTTTGGACTTTAGTATATATATAGTTATAATACCTTTATTGTACTGATATTATCATGAAAGTAAAGAAAACATAAACCAGTGTTATAAATTAATACATAAAAATATGATGGAATTGATCTACAAACACAATAACATAACTTGAAAACAGGAACAATGACAGGACATTGGAGGAACACTCTATGTTCCAGTGCACTAAGTTAATTTTGCAAAGCAAAGTACTGGATCATTCTCAATGTGATGAGTAAGACGCTTACCTGATGTGCCTCGGCCTCTACTCCACCCTCTGCCATCACCCCAGATGTTGGTTCAAGTCCTATCTGTCCAGACATATACAATGTCTGATCTCACGGGATGTCATCGCCTGATTTGGTCAATGTTAGGGAGCAGGTCGTTTTTACAATAAATTTCAATATTTTCACACAAAATATTTTTTTGCTGAAAAACTGCTCATTCGCAGAGAAAATGTACTAGCACATGCAATGACAATGTCAATCACGCTTCTGTACGAAATTCGGCGGAAGTCTTTTATAATCTAATACGAAGTTACTAAAAAAGGCGCGAACGCCCTACACTCAAAATGATCGTTTTTCCATTATAACTTTTTAACGTAATTTAACGAAGGCTTCTAATTATTATCCAAGATAGTCTAAATACCGATTAAAATATTTCTTACTTCAAACAGATACGCCGTCTTTTATTCAATTTTTTTAAAAATAATAAAAAATAACTCTTGTCAATGTTAGGGAGCAGTCAATGTTAGGGAGCAAAATGATTGGGGCATGGGGCAAAATCCCAAAAGGTCCCACTAGGTCCCAAGCCATGTTAAGTCTATGGAGGTCCCAACTTGTCCCATTGGTGTATACCGGGCTTTAGAGTATCATTAGCAAGTGGTACACATATAACAGAGATCGGTTATATACTGCATTGTCTGAGTATTGACAAATTGAAGTATACGTGTAAAAATCTACTATCATACATGTAACTGCGCAATGAGCCCTTCATAGCGTTTGTGCCAGCTATCAGGTGATACCCGGTCGTAAAGATAAGTGCGAGACTAACTCTCTTACTTTAATACTACACTGGTGATCCACTCGATTACGCTGGTTACCAAAACGAACCGTTTTGGTAACAAAATGTCGGAACATCCGGAAGGTACGATTTTCTCGTTTCCTTATTTTACACGTTGTAGGCAGAATTCCCACGACATTTTTTAACACAAACGTGTAATAGTATTATATGTTTAAGAAATTCAGGTACATATTTGCGAACAATTAGTTCAGAAGACAACAGAATCGTCGATTTACTTCCTCACTTAAGTTACATAAACGGTTTGGGTTAAAAGTGCAGATCTTAACTGTTTTTCGAAAAACCGTTTATGTAACTTAAGTGAGGAAGTAAATCGACGATTCTGTTGTCCTCTGAGCTATTTTTTCGCAAACATGTACATTTTCTAAAACATATGATACTGATGCACTTTGTGAGAAAAAACGTCGTGGGGATTCCGCCTACAACGCGTGATTTAAGGAAAAAAGAAAAATCGTGCCTTCGACGTTCCGACATTTTGTTACCAAAACGGTTCGTTTTGGTAACCAGCGTAATCGAGTGGATCACCAGTGTACTAGGAAAATATCAAATCATAGAACTGAAGGATGTCGGAGATTTCTCAAGCCTATATCAGTTCAGATAATTTATCATCCACAATTTAGGATTGTGAACTGATGACATCATCAAAAAGTGTATATAACGATACATCCATTCATTTACAGTTAGAGGTCAACGAATAAAGAAGGAATGGTTCGCATCTAAATATTTCTAAAACGAACGTAAACAGGATTTAGCTGAAAATAAAAAATGCAAAATAACCTTTTCAATGATTTTCTTACAATTTTAACGCTTTCCTCCCCAAAGGGTATCAAATAATCATACAAACAAAATTGTTCAGTTTATAAATGCCTTACATATTTTAAATGGCCATTTGCTACATTTTTAATATTCTGATAAAATCATTTTGCTCCCTAACATTGACTGCTCCCTAACATTGACAAGAGTTATTTTTTATTATTTTTTAAAAAATTGAATAAAAGACGGCGTATCTGTTTGAAGTAAGAAATATTTTAATCGGTATTTAGACTATCTTGGATAATAATTAGAAGCCTTCGTTAAATTACGTTAAAAAGTTATAATGGAAAAACGATCATTTTGAGTGTAGGGCGTTCGCGCCTTTTTTAGTAACTTCGTATTAGATTATAAAAGACTTCCGCCGAATTTCGTACAGAAGCGTGATTGACATTGTCATTGCATGTGCTAGTACATTTTCTCTGCGAATGAGCAGTTTTTCAGTAAAAAAATATTTTGTGTGAAAATATTGAAATTTATTGTAAAAACGACCTGCTCCCTAACATTGACCAAATCAGGCGATGACATCCCGTGGATCTACCATTACAGCTTGACTGAAAATAGTTTATTTTTATAAAAAAGAAACGATTCAGTGTCCGGGTAACGTAGTCAGAATCAGAGAAACAAATGGGAAATAAAAAATATCAGTTATTTTCATTATTTTTTCTAGTCTTGACAAATGAATAGGACCAATCATCTTATGAGGAAAATCTGACTGGCGTCCAGCGGTGCAACTAAATATAATTTCCAAGGAGGATTGGCTCCCAGAGTGCACCACCGATATTCTGTCCCATATATGGGTATGTCGTAATTCAAAATTCGAATTCAAACAGCCGCCATTTTGTTCACTTCAACATTTAAATCGTGAATTTTGGTCTTATTTCCAAACGAAAAATTCCAAAACTCACAAGAAATGATCGAGATATTGGTTCGAATCTTTTGAACTGTTTATTTTGAATTTATAGTCGGTTTTAATTTCAGAAAATAACGACATTTCGACGTTTTCATTGTTGGAAAATATCGAGTTTCGATCCTGGGAGCCAATCCTCCTTGTATAATTTCTGTAAAATAACATGGGCGATAATTAGTAATGAAATGAAATTGAAATGAACTGTATCGTCAATTTAGCCTTTATATTCAAGTTCAGTGTTTTCCTCACATATACCCCGTCACCCATGCAATTTTAAGAAAGATTAAGATGAAGTTGTCATACTCACTTATAAGGGCCAACCGCCTTTGGGGCACCGATCGTGTTTATAATCCGTCTTATACACGCCATCTTGTTCTTGGACAAATATATATCACGTGACAGTCACGTGGTTTTGAAGTATTAGATTGACGCGGGAAATTCAAAATGTTAACAACATATTTAAAAGTGATCAATAAAATAACATTTATAATAACATTTATTCATCTTTTATTATAGAGCTGTCCATGTAATTGAAAAATCTTCGTGTGCTGGTAGGGTGAGGTTAACGATGTCTAGTACCTAAACAGAAGAAAATACATAAGTTAAAAATAGTGTCAAAAACACCCGGGATATCATACTCTAAATAAAAGTTCTAATCAAGAGTTTCGTGAATGCTCAGTGGTCGACCTTTCGATTGGACTGTCCACCAATACGGGATTAATTAGTTGATTTCTGAAAATCGCAGCAAAATAGCTAAATACTGGTACAATTAATTAACCGTAGAACCTACCCCGGTAGAACTTGTAAATGTAAACAAATTGTGTTGCTGGTTGTTCACCCGAACATCAGTTATATCCAAGTAATGAGCCAGCCCCATCACTCGCACAGTCTCGTATTCCATCCCAAATAAGCCAGCATATCCCAAGTTAGATGTAATACCGGTAAGAATGCCCTAAGAAGAATACAGAATCAATATAGCTTCTAAGAATGACCATAACTGTATTTTAGGTCCTTTACAATTTAAATATTATTGCAGAATGAAATGAATAAACAAATAAAACAGATACATAAAATATGTTTTCTTTTCGGACTTTTGAGTCATCATTGTCTATCTAAGTCTAGGCATGGGCTTTCACCCATGGTCTTGGTCAGACACTTTATTGTCATTCTGATACTCATCACATTTCTGTTTCTCAACTAGAAATATGTCTTAGGAAATGATAAAAAGGCCATATTTAATTTCTCATGATATTTTATTGTGTAGATATTATGTTTTGATGTCTGTAAGCGTAATGCATGAACAATATTGAAACGAAAGAAATGCTTACTTACCGGTACAGCAGTATACTCGACTGTATCAAACTCCCCATTTTCAAAGGAATCTAAAATATAATTTACAAGCGAGTATTGCATCTAAAATGAAACTATGTGAGATCTAACATTCTTCTTTTAGCCTTATTAAATTATAAACAGGGTGTGCATAAAGTCTATTTACGATTCCAATACAAAGTCCGGGTAAAGTGTAAAGATTATTTGATGAGCCATGTTAGGAAATACCTTTCGTGTCACCTTCATCCCAAAAGAGATCTCCACTTGCTTCCTCGTTGTCATCTAAGGCAACGATCAGTCCAAGATTATTCAGACGACTGAAATAGAATCATCACGTGTAATAGAATATTTTGTACTTTGGATATATGATCTGAATAGACTAAATGATGATACTTTTTTGAAAGCTCTGTTGGTTGCATATGGCTGTGAAGACGAGTTACTTCAAAGATGGTACATAATTTGTCACTTGCCAAATTCTGGTGAATTTTTTCAGAAAGACTAGTTTTCATATTTAAATACACTTTTTGTTATCATGAGTACGTTATTTATCCGAAAACGATGGATTCGGTTCATTTATTTCTCGTTTATTTAGTTCATTTTTTATGGAGTTTTGCATGCAGGAATTATGAAGCTCAAAACATTTGTACTTTTGTTTTATATAGAAGTTATTGGGCAATCCCATTGAGAAAGAAGTCTTTTGTACTTTGTTGTCATTTTTACGTAAGTTTTTCAGTATTCGATCTACTCTTAAATACTGCATGGTTGTTTGGAAACATGGATATAACATACCTACCTAAACATAGTAGAGTTAGCGGGTTGTTGGGTAGGTAATATATATCCACCTCTTACATGGAGAGGTATGAAATCAAGAGGGGCAGGGAGAGTAGTCCAGGATTTCCGGAGTGAATTTGACACTTCAGCACCCTAGTAAAATCCAAAGGCAGACATACATTTAGTTGGGCAGAGTTAAGACGACATTTGGATGTGTTTGCGCATGACGTCAGTGTGCACGTTTTCGCAGTTTAGATTTTTGTAAAACGATTCGGTTCGATCGACTTTTTTCTATGAAGATGAAAAAGAAACATAAAGTGAGCGCAATACAAGAAAACGTACAGCGTCGAAATATGCCGTGGGTAAATAAAACAAGGAAACACACGCACGTTGTTACATAAGGAAACCCACTTGTACAGTGTCAACATACCGTATACCAATCGTACCATCTAGCGTCTGGGATATATGCAGAAACAGATGTCTTGCCCTGGAAATGTATTCAGATAAGTTTTCATTTATGATCCTATATAAGTCCCATAGGCCAAGGGTAAAGTAATAGTAAGCCATATATAGAAGAGACAGGTGAACAACTCTGACTTGGACTACTTGTTAAGATGGAGATTTCAACAATATTTAGTGTATTATTTTCAAAAAGCCATGGGGAGTTGATAGAAAATTGATAGTTTGTAGCTCTTACCTAAGATTGAAACTCAGTCAGATGATATAGAGTGAATAATGCTGTCTAAAAGAGAGAATTTCTGAAAACCTGCAATTGCCTGGCAAGTTCATTAGTAAACAAATGATCTGATTGGTCACTGCTGACCTCCCTGACCTCCAACAGTGACAATCAGTTTCAGCTTGCCAGGCAATTGCAGATATTCATAGTTGTTGTTTTATATGCAGTATTATATGCAGTTTTTAGATAAAGATTTGAAAAAAACAATGATATAAGTTTGAAAAACACTTTGAAGAAGATTTTGGAGAGATTTGGGAATACAATTTGATACCAGTAAGGAGAACTAGTGCCAAAACTAAAAAAAATTGAAAAATTTTCAATCTTACTTGTGGACCTGTCTCTTATATATTCAGCTTACTATTACTTTTCCCTTGGCCTATGATAAGTCCTATTTATCTTGAAATTAAGACGATTCGCCTAATTAACTAGTTACATCTTGAACTCCTAGTATATAAATTCTATAATCTACCGTAGCCCATCTCAATCTCAACCCACCCAATATTTGATTGCGATATTCTGCTTCCATAAATAAATACCTCATTTAAAACAGCTGACACCAAGAAGGCAGGGCCTAGTAAGAATTGTCTATCTATCGCGTGTGTAGCTGTGTCAGTCACAAACCTACATGTAATGACGGCAAATTAAAATGAAAGGCTGAACGAAGTCATGAAACACTAAGGTGAACATTACGAACATTGGATCGGAAAATAAAATCAACCTCAACAACCATTTTGTAAAGGATGAACAATGAGCCTTGAGTATAGATGGGGAAAATAAGCCAAGGACCGACAGGCTGCGCTCTTCTTTGTTGCTGGATATTCTTTAAAATTAACTACAGTTTATTCTATTGTGTTGCAACCTAAGTTTGGTTCAATTCTACATATTCGTGCTTTCGAAAATCTAATTTCAATAATCCGACTGTATGGAGGTACTCACTCGTGGAATAGTGGTCTCATGACGGTGCTGCCATCTATATGTGCGTGGTGGAACAACGTGTACATGTAAGGAAGAATGGTGTAACGGATCTCTAAGGACTCTCTACTAACTCTTGCGACCTCTGCACCCAGAATACCAGGATCTTGTTCCTGAAAGTAGTTTTACATTATAAAGAAAATATCATCGTATCATTTATCGAATCTCTATACTCTGTCAAGGAATACTAAATGTATGATATCCAATTTCACCCGAGAACATAATATCACTGTATTTGCAATTTTACAAATTTTTTCGAAAAGATTTATCCCCAAAGATTTCCCAAGCTTAAACTTCAAAAACTTCAAAAGTCCACGTTTTAACTGCAAGTACATACCCTCCAACCCAATCCATTGTGGTTCCTAGAGAAGGGGTAGAACGCACCAAGCTGCATCCACCTTTGGCACATCTCTTCTGTGGTATGCCCGCCAAATCCACAGATATCTGGACCAACCTGGCACATATTTTGATATGACTTAATGTAAGATGATTTTATTTTCTGATGTAGGTGTGTGTTTATTTTATGTTTCCCACTTGCTTTATAATCGCTTTTCTATTTCAGTATTTTCATTTTGTTTTATGTACGTGTGGTAGATACACATTTTGGAAAAGTACTTACGAATGGTATACCAAATAGATTGAATTCTAAGGAGCCAATGATAGAGTAGTGCAGATTTGACCAAAGACTGTGGTTGTCACCCAACCAATGGACTGATGTCGATCCTGAGCCAGGGAATGTCGACCTACTCAGTACAATACTTCGTTTACCAGTAACTTCTTGGACTGCCCTATGTTCAACATCAAAATATAGTAATTTTTTAATAAAACCTGCTTTCATTTTCTTATCTAATCGATCGATACTAATACCTGTTGTTATGTCACATGTGACTTGTGGATAATTACAAGAATTACTTATTGTTGCATGACAAATGACTTGTTATAACACAACGATTGCTTACTGTCGTGTGACAGGAGGTTAGTTCTATAATACAACGATAGCTTACTCTTGTGTGACAGGGGACTGATTCTACTAATGCAACGATGGCTTACTCTTGTGTGACAGGGGACTGGTTCTACTAATGCAACGATGGCTTACTCTTGTGACAGGGGACTGGATCTACTAATACAATGATAGCTTACTCTTGTGTGACAGGGGACTGGTTCTACTAATACAATGATAGCTAACTCTTGTGTGACAGGGGACTGGTTCTACTAATACAATGATATCTTACTCTTGTGTGACAGGGGACTGGTTCTACTAATGCAACGATGGCTTACTCTTGTGTGACAGGGTGTTACGCGGAATATGGCATACATTCATGGTTGCGCGGTATTTGTGATACGGGTGAATATTCCATAATCCATACTCACCTGCAGTATATGGCATATTCCGCAGGTGAGTATGCGATATTCCGCAGTGAATATGCGATACATTGATTTCAGTGAATGCCCGATACTCACCTGTGGAATGTCATACTCACTGGCGAAATATGCCATATACCGCAGGTGAATATGACATATACCGCAGGTGAAAACGTGATACAGAAAGCCTTGATTTACGAGAATCGACTCTAAATGTAAGACTACGCTGGATTACCAATATAGTTAGTGCGTCAAATACTAATATATGAATCCTGGATTGATTGAGTAAGTGTATTACGTGAGATCGGTGAGTGATACTTCTGCATAGGTTGATATATTAGATACACGGTACTGTTGATTCAGTAATCATTATAATAATTTATAAAGTTTTACTTGTTCGTTCAATCGATGCAATTGACAATTGCGTAATACCGTATCACGTTCTTATTGGTTAGTACTATGTATGCCATATACTGCAGGTGAATCTGTCATACACTGCAAGTGAATATGCCATATTCGTTGCGGAATATGACATATTTTTGTATCGTGTTTACCGCGTAACACAGGGGACTTGTTTTACTAATAAAACGATGGCTTACTCTTGAGTGACAGGGGACTGGCTCCAGCCAAACAAGTTGTGTGTGTTATAATGGCTGCCAAAGCTTTGTAGATAGTCGCCACAGAGTGTCTTATCAGCCAGAACATCTCCATATACTCCTAAGGTGTAAATCAATGGCATACTAAGTGGTAATCATTTAATTTGCCTATTCCCTATTTTTGCCAGATTCGGAAAATTAAATGGAAATATTATCTTCATAATGGTATTCAATGGGAAGTTTCTTGTAAACTGTAAAAAATTGCAAACTTTGACCACTCGGCAAATTAACCACTCGGATTAAATCTTTTGCCAATCGGTTAACATTTCGTTTTTAGCCTGTTAGCCTCTTGACTTGAAATTAATTAAGACTACTATAAATACTAAATTGTACTTGGCTTGTAGAGGGGATTGTTCCACTGGTTGTAGTAGCATCCTTTCACAGATCCTGTCACAAAACTGGCTGGCTCGTTCATATCCTGACCAGTAATATATTTAGGTAATTCGAATCCAACATTAAAATACTCAATTTTCATAATTCCGGCAACTAAATAAGTACAGGTATGAAGAAGTTCGATCATAACATATCATTATATATTATTCTATAATAACAAGTTTCCCTTGGCCGGGAAATAAACAGGAAATAGAACTGGTATAAAAAATCCCGTATTTAGATCCCCGATATTAGCCAAAATCCCGTATCATATCACGTATTGGATCCCGTATCAGACAAAATTCCGTATCAGATCGCGCATCAGAAATATTTCTCTTGTTTTTCACATTTTTGTTCTATTTTTGAACTTGTGAATAAAAGTTAAAAATGTGACATAATAAATCAAATTGTATCATTTTATGTCACCATCATTGGGTGATGACAAATCAAACTTGAAAATGAATATGATTCAGTAGAAATATTATGGAATAAATAGGTTATTGATGGTCGTGATGGAATATGAATTTTTTCCTCGAGAAAATTTGATATTGCTTGGAAATATCATATTGACTCTCAGACTCTCAGACTCTCAGACTCTCTGTCGCCCTCGGTCAATATGATATTTTCCTCGGCCAATATCATATTTTCCCTCGGAATAAAATTCATATTTCATCCCACCCATTAAATAACATATATTTCATGTGATATAATATTTATTATATAACTACTTACTATCCACATGCCGTCGTACTCAATGGTAGAATGGAACTCAATGGACATTTGTTTCCACCATGACTGACAGGACGTACTTGAGTAGTCGGGAAAATATACATTAGCGTCGGGCCAAACCTGGTTTCAAATTACAAGCAAACACGTCAAATAATATAAGTCATCCAGTTTACACATGCTTTCGGAATCTATTACAAAAGCTCTAAGGCAAGGGATAACATACATGTACGAGTCACTGAGCTGTTGGTTAGAAAATGAGCATGGTGAAGACATTAACAGAGATACAGAAATAAGAGGGAGGTTAAGTTACACGTTTTAAGAGAATCTGTACGTGAGCGTGTAATATTTCGTCCCCCGGGGATTACAGTCCTGCTCTCAATTCACTTTTCCATGGACCTACAATTATTTTCCTTTATACTCAATCGGCCAAGAACAGAGTACAAATGAGAGAACTAATCCACAATTCTACACGTTCGGGTACAAGTTTTAAAAAACATTTATCTTAACCTCACTTATACTAGCATGTGATAACTAACCCTTCCTTCTGCGTTTGTGACACCATCAGACTCTTTCACCCAAACGTCCATGCTCTGTCCAAGGTCAAATGGTCTGTAAGTTCCTGCTGGTTCTCCTATACTTATGCAGGGATCCTAGTTCAAAAATTATAATAAAAAACCTGTGGGATTAATATTATGATCTTTTGTCGAACGACACAAATGCACAATTAAAACCCTTTGCACTACCATTTAGTCATAATTCTTGGATTAAATATAGAGTATGAAGACAATGGCGACTGGTGTAACATTTCAGGAAAGTTTCTTTTAATAAAGAAATATTCACACATAGCTAGGCAAGGTGTATCCGATTCAAGCTAATCAGAACAAAGTATTCACTTCACACAATTAACAGTGTGTGGAATATCATTCACACTTAGCTAGGCAAGGTGTGTCCGATTCCAGCTAATCAGAACAGAGTATTCACATAATGAACAGTGTGTGAAATATCATTCACACATAGCTAGGCAAGGTGTATCCGATTCTAGCTAATCAGAACAGAGTATTCACATAATGAACAGTGTGTGAAATATCATTCACACATGCACATAGCTCGGCAAGGTGTGTCCGATTCCAGCCAATCCGAACAGAGTATTCACATAATGAACAGTGTGTGAAATATCAATAACGCATTTGTTGTGTACAGCTGCTTGTGTACTTGCAAAAAGGTTCATTGAAAATATATTCTTTTCGAGTGATTTTGTATCTTTATTTAACGTGATTTTACACAAAATATTTTGTAACGTGTGAAAAGAATTTAAGCCAAAGACTCGATGTGGCATTGTGGCTGCTTCATTAAACTAAGATGTTGTTTCCTAAACTTTGCATTCCCCTAACGGGGTCATGCAAAGATTTGGAAACGACATCTTCGTGGAATGGTTCAGCACACAATGCACTGAGTCCAAGGCTTAAATCCTTAAGTCAATGCAATGCAATACTGATATTTCAAAGATAAATTATGCAAATTGTCTCTTCTCTTCTTAACGTTTCTCAAAAACAACAGATTGTGTACAATACATATTCAATTTGCTTAGATGTAAAAAAATCCTTCATGCTAGCTTGATTTACACCTGATGAAAATAACATGGCTGGTATGTTTAGGGCCTTTTTGTGACTCGAAATATCTACCCTAGAGACAAAATACAAACTTTTAGATGTAATTACTAAATACTACAAGGAATACTAAATTCAAAACTTATCACCTAGGTACGAGTACTAGTCGATTATCAGAAGATGTTGGTTGGAGATGGTCCAAAGACTTGCAAGACTACACATACCTGGATACTTATCCATCGTGTGCCTTCATTTTTCAAATCTCTAACATATTGCGGAAGACCTGTGAAATTGACTGGGTCATAAGTAAAGTCCAACCGCCTGTCCATCATATCAATGTCGCCATGTTGTACATCCTGGAATGACATTCCATGGTAAGTACGAAGATGCTTGACTTATTCTTGTATATATTGAGACATCTTTATCTTAATTCCTTGTATTTATGTACCAGATCATCGATTCTTCACTAAACAATAATCTGTTGAGGTTAGATATGCATCAATATGAAACGGTCAGTTCTTTAGACTGGCTTGTATCATCAAAGGAAATCGAATAGTTCGATGCTCGCATGGTAAAATGACATGTCCATGGTATTCAAATATCTTCCATTTTGCTAAATTAAATGGTATATGAAACGGGTTTATGAATAACTTACATGTGGAATGTTAAAGGCTCTCATCCTGTTTACAGTGTCCTTGAGTGTTTGAATGTCGTTGTATCCATATCGTGACAAATGGAAGCCCAAGGCCCAATATGGCGGCATCACTGGCCTCCCAATCGCCTGGGGAAACAATACGGTTAAAGCTACTGGTTTGGATTTTCTAATGCGGTTCATGCGGAAATCGACTTTTCATATTCATTTAATATTTCAGTTTTTCATTAGCTAAAATGGTCTCGAGAGACGGGCCCAAGAACATGTAGATGTCTCAGTTATTTTGTATGTCACATTTCATAGATTATAATTGCGTGTTAGTGTGCTAACCTGGGTATATTGTTGGACAACATTCTTACAAGAGACGCAGGGGTGGATCTGGGAACCAACAAGGGGAGGGGGCAAATTTCAGGTCTTGCGCGGAAAATTTGGGCCCCTAAAATCCAAAAGTGGGCCCAAATAAAAAAAAAGGCCCAGTAATGATCGAAAAGGCCCACTTTTTGGGGCCTTAAGGCCTCTTTTGGCCCAAAAATCTTTTTGGACCCAATTTTTTTCTGCCCCCCCCCCTCAAGGGGCCCCCAGACCCCCCCCCCCCCCCGGATCCGCCAGTAAGACGGGCCTAAGAACATGTAGATATCTCGGTTATTTTGTCTTTCAAATTTTAAGTTGTAATCGCGAATGACTGGCTTAGTACTATACCTGGGTATATTGTTGGACAACATTCTCAGGAGACGGGCCCAAGAACATGTAGATGTCTAGTATTCCTCCTATGGTTCTGTACTTTAGAGAGGGGAGAGGGCTGAGCGTGACATCTATAGAAATATTCGATTCATAAATTGCATAATGCGATGATATCAAACCAAACCGATCATTATGGTTACACATTAAATAAATTATCTTGTTATTAGTAGCGATGTTATAAATTGTATGCATTTTCTTGATTATAATATACATTACATAAAAAATAAGTGACGTTTCGTAATTTGTTGTCCACACTATGTTATGTATGTTGTTTTGGTTTAGGATAATAGCGAGGATAATAGATCTATTTCTACTTTCTCAGTACTTTAATGTTCTACATAGAGAACAATACATGACTGTATATAATAACCCAGATGCGAGTAGAAATAATCTTGATTTACGTCATTAAAAATTCAAAATTCAGTCAAAGTAATATCATATTTGATATCTACATGTAAAATTACATCTAGAAATGTGGTTTTAAAAAGTGTTTATCAACTTCGAAAAATTAATTTTCTTTGAAAATGTGACTTCTAGCTCGGGGAGATTCCCCATAGACCCCATGCTATAAAATCACAAAAAATGAAATATCTTTTCTTTTAGTGGACAGGTAATATTTTGCTTTACTGGACATATTTTCATTTGTATAAGTATCAGACACATAAGGGTTATATGAAAATTGAGCCACTTAAATTGATAATATTCAAGGGAACTTTCTTACATACCTGCCATGTTAATTGACCCGAATCAGCCACCTGGTGGTGAAACTGGTAACTACCTACTCGCATTTGGGTAATTGTGATGATTGATTTACCTTGAGCATTGCTATTTAGCACTAAAACGCCATGTGCGAGATTGCTTGTTTCAACATTCATGTAGAAAGGATGTACACCATATAAGTTTGCTCCATGCTAAAATGAAAGACAAAATAATATGTAACCTCAGCTCGCACAATTCATTCATTTTTTCAAAATTGTAAATGGGGCCGTGTCTAGGCGCACGACGTAATGTCACGTACTTGAACGGGTTGTCCCTTTTTGTAGATGCTCAAAACCCTGCTACTCACCGTAACAGGTTGGTCCCTTGCGTACATGCCCCAACTCTTCCAGTTCATATCATGCTTTAGGCTGTGGTGTTCATGTTCGCCAAAACCATACACATTATGAGAGTTCAGTTTTGTGGCAAACTGTAAAAATTGTTCCGAGAATACCAGACCACCAAGTGATGTGTCGAATCTACAGGAAGATGAAATGCTTAGCCATGACTTATGTTTTGGTGGAAATTAAGATCCCTTTTATGACCCTTTTGGATACCTGGTATTTATTGAGTATTAACTTACACGGATTCACTTTTACAATGGAATATATTTTTATCTTTAACTCTTTAGTTTATGGTTCGGACTTATCTTTAACTGCTGAACTAGCAACGTGAGGTTTTCAAGGTGTTATGATGTATACTCACAGAGTCGCCCCATTAGAGGCTCTCTTGACTTTTATGTTGAATGCTGGAGAGTTGCTAAACTCCACAGAGTAAAGAGGATCCAATGCTGCTGAAGTAGATGAGATATTTAGCGGAACTTCAAACCTTGCCACACTTGGATCAAAGATCTACAACACAATTAATTTTATCACTTGCAAACATAAGTTAATTCGAAAATTATTATTGCATTGCGTGATCACTGACTCGGTACGTTACGTCATTTGGATGAATGAAAAAACCTCGGACGCGATCGGAGCGATTTTACTTTTATTCTTAGTCTGCTGTTTGTTTGGAACTCCACGTCCATCTGGATCCTCGCTATGTCATGTCCATACCAAGATGAGGTAGGTTTCCTGTCCAGCGTAGCTGTGTAACCCTTAGCAGTCTGAGTCACATCTCCAACTAGCGTATACCCTGTAGTCTTTGGAGCGAAACACCATGGGACGTCCTGAATACTTGATGTACACCAATGACAGCCTCTTTTGATGCAACTGTCCTCTGTGGACCCTGAGTCAGGATGACAATCAATCCTCTCGTGATCCGAGATGTCTGAGGGACAGTTGGCTCCACCCTGCGAGACGGTGGGATCTGAGAAGCAATATGGAGTGTTGGGGGTTGAAGTCTCACACCAGATGCAGCCTCTGTTGTTACAAGACTCCCGTGATGCACCTGGAGAATGCACGAGCCTACTGCATTGAATTGTTATTTAAAGGCCCTATTCAAAGTTTGAAAATATGTTTTTATCATTCATTTACTATTTACTATCTATTATCTATTTACTATCTTGAACTTATTTTAGAGATTTTAAAAATTAAATTTGAAAAAAGTTGTCTGCTTTTTATTTCTCAACTATTCAATTTTCCCGTACTAATCATCGTGATCTCACGCAGGTTTTGAATTTTTTTATCAATCTTTTCTAAATATGCTGATTGCTGAACTTCAAAAATAAACCAATGTTGATTGTCTCACGAGGTTGAAAAGAAGAATATATCATGTTTTAGATATTAATTTACCATTTGCTTCTATGAGAATTAAAATTTTGAAATTTTCTGAACCACTTGAAACATGCTTAATGTATGTTAAACTTCGAGCAAAACCAAAAATCACCTTTTGATATTAAAAAAAGTTAACAGTAACACTGGGTTACAATATTTCGACAAAGTGGTTTAAACTTTATATTTGGCCTGTATGTCTTGTGAGTTTGTATTGCGGTAACAGTTGTTTGACGATTGAGGGGAGAAGTCAAATCTCCTCAACGATCCTCTTAGCGATTGGTCACAATTATTATTAACTACGATTGCAAACTATGATATAAGGAAATAAAACAGATTATAAAAAAACGATCGCATATATTTTTCCACCCTGTTTCTGAAACAGAGTCGTGTTACCTGATTCTGGGTGACAGTCTACCTTCTCGCCATCTGCTATCAAAGAGGGGCAGACGTGGTCGTTGAAAAAACACCATGGTATGCCAGATGTTTCATGCGGGCACCATATACAGCCCCTGGCCTCACATGATGCTTGGTTAGTCCCGCTCCACGGAGAGCAATCTCTTCTGTTGGAGTCTGATATGGTAGTTTGACAGCTTTCAACTTCACAATCTTAAGTAGAAAGACCATTACAATGAGGTATGGTATGTTTCCTTGGCAAATGTGTATATCTTTCATGAACAGTTACTTACCTAAAAACAGAAATGCCGATATTACTGCAAATGTGCTAAGAATACGCATGCTGACCATTTCAATACAGAAATACTAGAATCGTGTAATTAACATTCTTATAAAATATTTATTTGGATGGTGAATTTATTTAAGCTATATATATATGAGAATAAGCCATATGGCCAAAAGTCAAACGTGAGAAAGGTGTTTGACATTTTATTGGACCTCAAAACACGATTCAAAACACGATGAATATAATTTAATTATCAAAGTGTCAGTAATTAAGTCAGGCCCATTTTTGATCTACACGTAAATCGCTCTGTAATATTATTCAATTGTACATGGTGTCTCATAAGCAATGATAATTATGCTATTATGTTATTTGATTATTTTATCAAGGAAATATGAAATTCATATGTAGGATAAAGGACAAGATATATTACATTTTCCTACATGAATACTACATTTTATAACTGAACACACCACACGTTGTTTTTCATACATTTTTAAACCCATTTTTTGTTTTAATTTGGATGTATCACTGTTGTTCACATTAGTAATTGTTCACTACAGTAGTTTTACTATATTTTATTCCTTATATTCCCCAATGCATTTTGCACAGTGGTTTCACTGTGGATAAAGCCAATGGGGCAAGTTGAGACTCGATGGGGCAAGTGGGATTTTCCCCCATTGGTGTATACCAGTGTAAAAGGGTAGGAGGTCCTATCAAATTATGGTCCTACTTTCCATTGATTTATATGGTGACCTAAATACAACTCTTTCCCTTATTATCGTATCCACAATCAGGGCCAGTAAGGGCCGTTAAGAAAGGGGACCATAATCCCCAGGGGACCATAATTTCTTTTACACCTCTACACAAAGTTCTTCCATCGTGTCCATAGATCTAGACTTCTTGGGTCTATGAATTGGGGCATTGCCCAGGTCGATTTTGCTTTCAGGACAATCTCGGGTTGCTTTTTCTCAATGCGTTTTGAAGATCATAGTATCAGACCAAACTGATAATCCTGTCGCACACGCTTTGACATCATGCAACAGTATGCAATAATCGGTACCTTTACCATGATTTGAAAGCTTCGACAAGATCCCAGAATAACCACTTTCTAATTTTTCAATTTTTCTGAAAATGAATAATGTGGTGAAATATGAAACTTCTCTGGAGAATGCACATACATGTTGATATGGCAATTATAAATGGAGTATTATTGTGTTAATAGTCAAAGGAAGCCTACAACTTGATATTTCATTTTGCGTGAATATTATACTGTTTCCTTATCAAATAATAATTTTAGAGCATTTTATGGGACACCCTGTAATTTACGTTTCTCCTAAGCATAAACAAAACTACCCTTTGCATTCGTTCGACTTTACTATTTAAAAGAGAGCTTCGTTTTTAGTTTATAACTAGACTCTGCGCGCAGGGTAAAACAAAATATATGTGAATGTTATTTTGTAAAAGGTCAAATACAATAGTTTACACTTGATACACCAGCCTTTATCTCGTGTTACATAGCATGATTTCACAACTTGTATTAATCTGAGTACGAATCTCATTTTGATCTCAAGTTTGATGTCGATATGAAACTTTATTGATTTGGACTGAAGCTTTCTGTTCGAGATGTCATTACTCGATGTGTACTTAAATTATGTGCATCTCTCTATGGAATTCGCTAAACGATACTATCAAATAGATATACGATATAATCTCATTAGGAATTGAAATCACACAAAACTACATATACAAATATACAAGTATATGTAGCCCATTTAGTTTTTCATCTGTGTCTTTAAAAAATAACCTTGGCCTATTTAATACACGAAAACAATGTTTCGAGTAAGCTCAAACAACAGTGTTTAACAAAGTCTAGGCTAAACTAACCTCAATTCCGAATTTTGGGCTACTTTTCATATAAATCATGCCACTTTTTGCCAGTTTCGTTAAAATAGTCCTGTTTCTCGTATCTTTGTTCATAATAAACATTTAATAAATTGAAATAGAGAATAATGGTGATTTTTTGTCTATTGGAATTTCCTGAACTTGGCACTTTGCGATTGCTGCTTTATTTTGGCTTTAAAAATACTTGCAGCAATAACACAACTTTTTATCGGAGGAATTTCAAATTTTAGAAAAACATTTCACCTTTTTATTTCATAATTGATCGTTTAAAAGTTTCTAAAAATGTCAAATCATACAGAGTTTCGATTCATTCAGTAATGATGTGAGAACCATAAAATGACTAATTGAATAACACGATTCCATTATCAAGCCAAGCTAAAAAATCTACACAACTATTATCTAAAGCACTTTCGTCAATTGGATTCCACATCAAATGCCTATATATTTCTCCATTTTCAAGAACAATTTCTTATGATTTAAGAGGCGTGTATAAATCACATTTAACGTTGATCCTTAAAGTAGTCCCTCCAGTAAAAGTCCAATTACCCTCGGTAAATCACAGTTGAATATTGGTAATAATTTATCATTGACATGATTGCAAGAATTATACACATTCTTTGCAAGTTATATTGATTTTCCTGCAATACCAATCTGAGCATAATGGTCTCGCTCCAGATCTCCCGAGATTTTGCGTGGCTTCATAATTCAAGCGTAGTGTAAAGCTATAGATCTTATGTATTGATTTAGGTAGAAATACCATTGAATTGGCTGTTTTAATGATTGCTGTGTATTCCTCTCTGCTTCTGATCAATCATGGACGACATAATATAAATGGGTAAGTGTTTTACTAAGCTATATTGCGTTAATCGAAAACAAGATCTGTGAAACTGGCATTACTAATTGTATATCTTTTATATATTATAGTTATACATGTATGTAGCTATAAAAGATTTGCACATTTCATTTAATAATTTAGTTATCGTATACTTAAAATGGGGAACTGTAAGGTACACGAGGTTGACAAATATTGTCACGTTATCAAAGGATTGTGGTAATGATTATCCTGGACCAGTACATAAGAACATGTATGGAGAACACGGGTGTCTTATTGGCTTCAGTGTATCGATCCATGGCATAGGCATAATATAGAGGAACATCTCTATGACGTCCCTTCATACATACGCTTGATGTATTGTCAATACGTATCGGTATTCCTAGATTTATTTCCATTTTCACGAAGTGTTTTATTGGCGTTATTAAAAGCACTTTTCCCCTTGTAATAAAAACAACATGTTGGTCTGTTTGATGGGATAATAGATCACATGTCTATGAGAGTACTGTCATTAGTTATATTGCAAATGCTCATAGCAACCAATACGTGCTACAAAAGCAAAGCATTTTATAACACGAGAACCATTTGATATAATTGCCATTATTATGGACATATCATCTAAGCACGAGTGCCAAGGTGAAAGGACCAAAAGTTGTAATGGAACTTAGCAAGAAAAAGCAAACTCTAAGTGCATACCAGTTAAGAAAAACAAACCCCATATATCCCAAAACCATGATCTAACGTGAAAAGAAACAATGACTAATACCCCATTTCCCCCCACCATTCAAGAACCGATATCACAATCCAAGACCAGAACACCAAGGAACATTTCATTCATACTGAAGTCATTACAATACATGTTGAAGAAAAAATTAGAAATTGATATCCAATACTCATAACATCAAAAATAGTTGTAGATACAAGTTCTCATACAAGATAGAGCATTCAGTCTCAAATGATGTGGAATAGATAAAATCCGGTCTACAAGTCCATAGGCGTTTCAAAGGGTCAAACATAACATAGACTGTCTATTGAGTGGCTCCGCCGATCTTCAGATCATCAAAACAGAGTATTTCAAATGAAATAGTCTCATTTCCAACCCTGGGGTATTACGTGTTATTGAAAAGTCACAGCCAATAGAATGTAGAATGTAACTTATGATGTAATGAACACTAAAAGAGGAATTGAAACTTAATAATTAATGGCATTCATGATGCAAGAACTGGTTACATCTTCGCATATTACTAAATCCAATGTGCATCTATTTTATTCGAGATTCGCTTTGATGGAGCTTCAAAAGGAGCAGAGATAGCAATTACATTTTTCCGAAAAAGGCTTCAATTAAACTTAAATTATTTTGCATTATATTCCGCAAAGTAATTTAAAAAGTAAAAGGCACATATTTGTGGTGAGAAGACCATGTGGTCTGAAAGGTACAAGAATAAACATTTTGTTTTTGTTTGCTAACCCCTATACGTTCAATATCAATTTTGTGTTTTGCGGACAAAATACTTATACTTGTTACAAATAGATCTCCGAGGAATCTTTTGAAGTATTTTATTTCATGTTACCATATTATTTCAAAGATGGCAAATTATTTTCACCATAAGAACAACACTATTAATTGCAAAAATGGAACAATATGTTTTTCCCATGCAACATTATTTTCATAGTGAATGCTGTAGTTTACGGTTACATTGTACGGTCAGTAAATTTCGACAGTTTAATAGAATACACTTGAAAAGTCCAAACTTTTCTCTGAAATAAAAGTTAATGAATGAAAAATCCACCACGGCAGCCCTTTCAATGTTTACAAAAATGAAATAGTTACAATGGAATAAATCTTTTTTTAATTATAATTACTAAGAAATTGAATTAATACATGTCACACATTATTCGAAGCTTTTTGTAATCCAAACAGTATTGCACCAATTGACCAAAATGTGGTTAACATATACGACAAATTCATGGCATTCTAATTACATTTGGTATTATTTTATAAAAGTACAACACTCAAGCCACGTATTCCTTTCATTATAACGAATTTTATGTTACATGACTATATGTTTTTATTCCGCTATTTAATATACGCTCTACCATGAGTATTTGGTATCAAATTAAACGTCTCTTAACCCTGCAAAATATCATTTAGTTTTTATCTCAGGGTTATAAAAGCTGAACGCATTATCAACCGTCGAACATTCCAAACTATCATTTTTTGCCTTGTAACTGATCACCCTTATGTTGATTGACAGTAACTTTTTTTATATTCTGAAACGTATTTTGTTATGATAATTGACAATTTCATCATAAAGACTGCATTGTGTCGATTGTACGTTAGCTGGAATCAATTTATTTGCTAATTTACTATTGGAA